TAATGCAGAGTTAATTCCCGTTCTCCTGGGCTCACAGAGGCTCAGCACAGCCGGAGGTGCTGCAGCCGTGCCCGCCCACGCTGTGATATCCACGTGTGGGTGTTTTGGGGTCCGTGGCCACGGGGGTGCCCCAGGGTGTCCCCTCGCACCGGTGGGTCCTGGTTGGGTGCTCGGCTTTTGGGGTTTAACATATGGGGCTCTTCTGGTGAAAGGCTGAGTGAGCTTTGGGATCACACAGATTGGGGGTGGCTGCTGTGGGTCTGGGAGTCCCGATTCGGCTCCAGAGGGGAAGAGCGGCCGGGGAGAAGCTGAAGCAGGCACAGCCCGTCCCTTTAGCTGCTCCCCGAGCAGAGCACGGACAGAGCCCGGGAATCTCGGGAGGCCAGGGCCGGCTCCAGCGATCTGCGGAGCTCGGGAGCTCCAGCGGGGAGCTGCGCACCGAGGGAAGCCCTACGGGTGAGTTTAAGTCATACACACACAATCGCGCACTGGGATCGCTGTGTTTCATCCTCTGCGAGCACCAGGGAGCATCAGCACCATCGGGCTTGGACTGTTCGTCATCCCAGATAACGCTGGAACAGCCAGGATTAGCTCGCAAATGCTGGATTTCACACTTCTGCAGCTCGAGGGTGAGGAGCAGCCCCACGCCTCATCCTCGGAGGGGATTTATGGGCTGAGTGTGTATTAAAACACCCCGGTTGAGGCTGTCCTGGCCGTGCAATCGAGCAGTTTTGGGGAGCAGTGGTTCACGGGGTTGGCTGTCACCAGGGGTGAGGCACAGCAGGCGTCTCTCCGGGTCGGGATCCTTCCCATGCAGCCRGCCCTGGGAAAGGCAGCCAGTTAAAATAACAGTTTATGCTGCCGGGTGTCTTGTGGGATGGTGGAAGGATCCCAGAGCAGCCCTGCCTGGAWTCCTGCTTTCTGTCACAGGACAGGAGCTGCTCTCCCAGCTGGGGTTGTTTTAGGGTTTTCTTGCTCTTTTGACGACTTTTTTACTGTCTGTCAGCAAAGTCCAAAGGAATTAGATGCATCCTTTATTTTGCACATCCATTTCCCCTTCCCTGCATATGGGAAAAGACATTAAACGCAAGGAGAAAAAAAGGTTTGCAACATAGAAATATAGCTTGAATTAAGTTATTTGGAGCAGAACACTGGGCCTGGGTGTGATGCTCATCATTATTCCCTGRGTGGGCATCATGCTCTTCCCACATCATTTGGGGGCAGAAGTGTTTCCCATGAGGGAAATCAGATTCTATCCAAGGGAAGCTCCTGAAATGGTGAGGGAAAACGGAATTTCACTGTTCACCCTGCAGGATGTTTGCTGTTAAGGATTTCACCCTGGATCTGAATGGGCACCAGGRGTTGTTTTGCCACATGCCGGCCCGTGAGAGCATCACCTCGTGCCTCAGTTTCCCCCAGAKCAGAGTGGGATGCAATACCTCAGTGGAGGATGGAGAAACACCAGTGTAGGATGGAGAAACACCAGCTGCTCTAGGGATGTACTGCTCCAGGGATTTTTGATCCCGTTACAGCAGCAGGAGAAACKCAAAGGTTTCCTTGAAGCGCCCCCAGCGCTGCCCTGTCGCGGTTTGTGTTTGTTTTGGCTGGGGCGGCGGGGGCCGGCTCTCCTCGGGGACACCGAGGCTGTCCCCAAGCCCCAGGGCAGCCGCGTGGGTGGCACCCGTGTTTATTTACCTTTTCATCACCTGGCTGCTGTGCCCTGCCGTGCTGCAGGCACCACSCGGGGGCTGCCAGCCCTGTTTGACTTGGCAGCAGCTGCAGATTTCCCTCCTGCTGAAACAGCCCGACGCCAGCCCCACGTCTGCCGGGGTGGCCGGGCTCCTTGCACGCCCTCGSAGCATCTTGTGTGGATATTTTGCAGCCTGGCACGGGCCAACCTCACCGCATGACATGATGGCACAGCCAGGAAAGATGTCACCATGTCACAGGGCAAGCTGCAAACACTCAGCAGCCYCTGGAGCTGTGGATGTGTCCCTGCAAAGCAAAGCCCGGTGGGACTGGGGGTGCCTTCACCCAAAGGGAACGGTGCTTTTTGGCTGGTGGGAATGGCCCTGTGACATCCAGGCTCCCATCGCCCCTTGGGATCTCTCCCCTTCCTTGACTCTGCTCTCCAAAGCTGCAACGCAGAAGAACAGGAGCAGAGGAGCAGCAGATGTGTCCACGAGCTGCAGGTCCTGTGATGGGACTCAGCTAGGGAAGCTGCATGTTTATAGTGCATGTGGATGACCCATTTTGGGATTCTCTGAGCCAGCATTTCCACTTTCCACCCTTGATGGTGTCACTGTGTTTGGGTTCTGGCTGGATCAGGGAGCTCATGCCCAGAATGGGATCTCAGTGCTGAGCCACTGTCCAAAGAAAGGGGCTGTTCAGGTGCCAGCCAGGAGCTCCATTTTAGCTCTTTGCACTCACCATGTTGTCCCAAGGGAATGGCAGATTTGGGATTTTGTCTCTTCCCTGCCTGTGGTGYGTTTCCCAGGCAGGTGGGACATGTAGGTGCTACAGGGCTGAATCACACAGAACTTGGGTTTTGGTGAGTAGCAAACCCTCCCGTTCCTAGTGAGACTCTGAATGTGAGAGGGAGAAGCTCCAGCCCCAAAACTTCCCATTCTTCAATGGGCTTCTATCAACACATACCCTAAAGTGTGGCTTTATTATGACTTTCTGCCCTTTTACTTTTGGTGTTTGGTGCAGAGCTGCTGCATGAAGAGCGGTGGAAGGAGTCACTGGTGGTTCTCACTGTACCCAAAGTCGGGGTTTTGGGAGGTGCCTCAGCAGCAGTGCTGTGTTTGAGGTTTGGTGACAGYGGTGGCACAGTGTCACCTGCCCCGGTGCACGTGTTTCCTGAGCTCACAGAAACCATTTCCGGGCTTTAATCRGGATCTCATGCAAAGCCCCGGCTCTGCAAAAAGCGCCACTGCCACTCTTCATGCAAACACAGCCTGGGAGAAGCGCCCAGAGCACCGAGGTGTCTCAGGGGACTGCTCGGGGTGGAAAGTCACCCCTGGGCACCCCGGCTGAGCCAAGGCCTGTGGGGCACCTGCCTGCCTTTAAGCCCCCTTACCTGGCACATTTGCACCCTGAAATGTGGAGTCTGGGTGGAAACAGCAGCAGCAGATCTCTTCTACTTTTAATTTTGKAGGCTCTGGGCTGTGGAGAGGAAGCTGGGGGTGGAGAAGAGCTGGCTGTGAGAGGACAAGAGCCACTTTGCTCCGACACGCTCTGTAGAGCAATTTGAAACGCTGAAGCTGCTCCAAGATTAATTTTTAAATTTTTTCTTTTTTTTTTTTTTTTTTTCCTTTGCTACGAGAATAATGATAGGCATTATGTCCTGCTCTGTGTCTCACAGTGGCAGGGGATCAGAGCAGCCAGACTCAAGGGGGACATGGGTTTAAAACAACTCATAGTGGGTGTGTTTGTGAGCACCGAGGAGTTGGTGAAGTTTGAAGCATGAGCACATTCAGGTTTCTTGTTTTCACTGATTTGTTTAGTGAAGGTGGGTTTGGTATTTTTTCATTTCTCTGAATGAAAATAGGTGATGGAAAACAGATGAGCAGGTTTCACTTCCTGCTTTTGCTTAGGGCTCAGTGCTGGGGGTGTTTGGAGACAGCCCCACTGGTGGGGCAGAAGTGTCTGCCTCAGGCTGATTCCTCTGGTACTCACCTGGTCCTGTATTCCCTCCCAGAAACACAAGGAGTTGGACAAACATCTTGTTTTAGCATGGAATTGTAAAGGGTGAAAGAGACCTCCAAGTTCATTGAGTCCAACCTTTAACYCAGAGCTGCCWCCTGTTTGCTGTAGAAATTGGCTGAGAGATTTGGGGAGAAGGCTCTGGGGAGACCTTGGAGCCCCTGCCAGTGCCTAAAGGGGCTCCAGGAGAGGGAAGAGGGTTYTTRGACAAGGGGAAAGGCTYCCCACTGGCAGAAGGMAGGGWTAGCAGGACACTGGGGAGAAATTCTTCCCTGTGAGGTTGCTGAGGTCCCGGCACACGGTGCCCAGAGAAGCTGTGGCTGCCCCATCCCTGGAAKTGTYCAAGGCCAGGTTGGATGGGGCTTGGAGCACCCTGGGACASYGGAAGRTGTCCYTGMCCATGGCAGGGGTGGRATGAGATGGCCTTTAAGCTCCCTTTCAACTTAAAACACTCCAGGATTTTAAAGGGTACAAATGGAGCCACCAAAATCAAGGGGGTCACTCCTGAGCCCTCCCTGGGTGCGGCAACTTACAGTCCTGGGCCCAGCCTTGCCCATAGCAGGGCCAGCACATCCCTGCTGCCCAGGAGTAGGGAAATTGGGAGGGTAGCAGGGTTTGCACCTTGTCCAGTGGCCGTGGGTGTGTGCAAAGGTAGTGGTCACCTCATGGGGACGTGGGAGTCTTGGGGGAACTGTGATAGGTGTTTGGAATCCTTGGGTTTCTCTCAGGTCCTGCAGGTGACTGGGCTTGGATTTGGCTGGGGGCAGRGTGGACAGAGGCTCTGCACCCCCTAAGGTGGAATCAGGAGAACGACCTGGAGCAGCTGAGCATTGGTTTTGGATTTGTTTCCTAGAGCGTTGCAGGCTGTAAAGTACAACAGATTAATAGGAAACGTGGTCTGAAAGTTACAGCCCCCAGTGGGGCTGTACTGGGTTTCTGGCAGGGCATTTTATGGGATGGTTGGACTTCTGTGTCTTGGAKTTGGAGAGGGCAGCTCCTGAGGAGTATTATTTTAGGCAGGCTGAGTGTAGGAATAAACACTGCCGGAGCCGCTGGCAGCAGGGAAATGGTGTTTCCAGGGCTGCTGAACTGGGGTTGGACTCAGAAGTTTGAGGACAAGCTGCATTGACGTGGGAATGTGTGCAGAAAAAACTTGCATTTTGGGTTACTCAATGAACTGCTGGGCATAAGGGAAAGGATTGCTAGTCTGGGTCCAAATAGCTAATTAACTTTTTATTTTTATCCTTTTTTTGCTGTATTGCACTTGTTGGGCTGTTGATGAAAACCCACAGAGCTCCCTGCAGAAGAAGGTAAGTCCTGGGCTGGAGGTGGCAGTGCATGCCTGGGGAGAAGGAAAAGGGAATCTTTGGGGTCTTTTCATCTTGGTTTTAATCCCAGAGAAAGCTGGGCTGACAGCAGAGCTTTCCTGTGATGGTGAGGCCACCTCTGTGAATRGAAACACAGAGAATTTGGTTTTGATAGTTAAAAACAGACCCAGTAAAACCAGGGTAGAGCCAGAAACAAAAACATTTCATACCAGAGGGAACCCCCCACTGCAGTGCTGCATGTCCTCAGCAGTGCCCATGGCCACGGGACACTGGAGCAGCCCTGAAGCAACCAGGGATGGGATTCTGTGGGTCTTAGGGCCTCGGTGGTCTAAATTATGTCTTCTGGAGATGTTTTTGGGCACTGACTGTGCTCGGCTTCATGTTTTCCTACCAGGAAAGTCCCTCTGGGAGTTGGTGCTGGAGCAGTTTGAGGATCTCCTCGTCCGCATCCTTTTGATGGCAGCTTTGCTGTCCTTCGTGAGTACCCAGGGCTGGGGTGGCACCATCTGGGCCTTGTGTGGCCTCAGGTGACATCCAAASAGCAAGGGAGGGCAGGTGCCTCCTTTGGGATGAAGGGATGGGATGAAAGAGGTGCAGCAGCAGAGCAGCGGTTTCCAGGGTATAATGGCAATATCACTGCATCTGCTTAAAGATGGCACTGGAGCATTTTTCAGTAATGCTGATCCATCCAAAAGTGATGCCAAACAACTCCCTGGGCTGCTTTCTGTTTCTGCCCCAGGGCAGTTCCAGGCTGGTGATTTGAGCCTGGTTTGCAGTGCCCCAGTGCTGAACTGTCAGCTCAGTTTTGCCCACAATCTGCCTTGGGAGCAGCTCTGTGTGAGGAGTTTCCCATCGAGCTGCTGGAGAATGACTGATTTTTTTTTTTTTTTAGTGTAGTCAGGGTGTTTGGCAGTGAGCTGGCAAAGCTGAGACTCCTGTCCTTTCCTTTGGGATATGACTCATGGGCAGATAGAGGGGAAATCTGGTCCCTTGTGGGGTTTAGTGCATTTAATTCACAAAATGTGCAGTGAAGTGAGCACTTCAGGTGAAGCAGGTGTGAAGCCCTGTGCCAGGGGTGCTTGTGCCAGTGCCTCTGTGACTGAGCAGAGAGCTGTTTCTGTGTTGACACAGCACAGGTCAATGGGCAGTTAAATGGAGTGGAAATATTGGTGTGTGTGCTTCATTTGTGTTGTGGTCTGAGGCCTTTGTKGGGTGCAGGGGGGGCTCAGCGTGGTAGAAACCACAAGGGCAGTCCCTGSTCTGCAGAGCTGCTCTCACTGCATTCATGACTGGTGTGGCATCACTGACCTTCTGCCCAGCAGGGACTGCAAGGCTGCTTGGCCTCCCCACTCATCAGCCCACAGCCACAGTCTCACCACAGGCACCCGAAACTCAGAGAGGCTTTCCTGGTGCAAACACACACCCAGGCATTGCATAGCTGCTTGCTGCAGCCTCCTGTGGTCAGTGCATTAGGTTATCATTAGGTTATTCYCACAGAGGAGGGAGGCTGCAGCAGTGGCATGTACCAATTCCACTCTTTGACCGAGCCATGAGGGTCTGGCCACCTCTGGGTTGTTTCTGGCCAACACCGCTTGTTGTTTGGCTCTTGTTTCCATCATTCTTCTCAGAACTTTGCTGCTCTTGTCTGAACCACACCGTGTTCCTTCTCTTCTCTGGCCCCCAGATCCTGGCCTGGTTTGAGGAAGGAGAGGAGACCACGACGGCGTTTGTGGAGCCCGTTGTCATCATCATGATCCTGATTGCCAATGCTGTGGTGGGCGTGTGGCAGGTAAGGCACGGCCCCTGCCTGCCCCAGGGTCTGCTCAGATCCTTCATCCAAAGGTCTGGTTGCTTTGTGTCCTTTGAAACTCCTTCCCCAAAGGCTCAATTTGCATGCTGGCCCTGCCTCCCCAAGTCCCTGCACAGATGCTCAGTCGCTGGCTGCCTCTTGGCTCCTTCCTTCAGTCTTTCTTTGGCAATTTTTGCAGTTTGGAGCTCATCTTGCACTTATCCAGGCAAACACTGCTTGTYTCCTGGCCAAATGCATTTTCCAAGGGAAGATCTTTGCCCTGTCTGGGTGGCTGCTGCCCCTCGCTTCAGTGGGTCCCTCCTGGGGGATGAGCAAATGCCTCAGCCAGGGATGCTCTCTTTTGTATCTGTTATCTGCAAGGCCATTTATTTATCTGCAGCTTGATCTGGGGTGGCATTGCTGGATGGGGAAAAATACAATTGGTTGGTATATATTGCTTCCCAAAACAAGAATGAGATGRTCAGCCCCAAAGGTCCAGGCAGTGTCCTGTATCTGGTGGGGTTTAAACCAGCAGGAATCCTTTTGCAGAGGCTGAAGAGGTGGCGCTTGCCCCATCCATGGTGTGAATGGATTCCAAAGGCAGGGCTGGGCTTTGGGTTTCCCTGTCTTTGAGGCGGGTGGGGAAGGAGCCTGCTGGCACCAGCAGCTCCAGCACCAGCAGYTCTGCTGCTCTCTGCTTGCAGGAGAGAAACGCTGAGAGTGCCATCGAGGCCTTGAAGGAGTACGAGCCCGAAATGGGGAAGGTGATCCGCGCCGACCGCAGCGGGGTGCAGCGGATCCGCGCCCGCGACATCGTCCCTGGGGACATCGTGGAGGTGGCAGGTAGGGTGYCACCACCCCAGGGGCTTGCATGGGGACGTGCTGCTGGCCAGGGGATCCCCCAAAGCTGGGGCTCTTCAGCCTGCAAAGGCTTTGCCTGAGCATCAGGCAGTAGAGAACAGCAGTAAAGAGAAAAAAAAATGTCCATTTCTGACACAGGGTTTGTGTCTCAGGAGTGTTATCCCCTTTTCTGGGAGCACTAGGAGAACTTTTAATTTTCCACCAAGATTTCTTCTTTCTGGAAATGGCTCTCCCACGCGTGTCCCTGGACAAGGTGTGGGTGAGGGGCCGGTACAGGGTGCTGCTGGATGTAGTTTGTGTGGGAAGGCTTCCTTGGGACCTGGGGCTGCTTTTCCAGGGAGGGTGAGGGGCAGAGGGCACCATCTGTGGGGTGCTTTTGCCTCGGGGTGGGTTGTACACCCAGCCCTTCTGTTGGGGCTGTGGATTCRGCAGAGCGTGCCTGGGGGTCTGCCCCAGCAGAGCTGAGGAGGGTGTATTCCAGTTATTCCACTTTGTTTGTTCCTTAAATGATGCTGTAAACCCCCAGGGCCACAAAACTAATCCTCTCCTTTGCTCCTCGTGGCCCTGCCGGTGGAAACATGCTGCAATCCCTCCTGCACCCAGCCAGCTCGCCGTTATTTATGTCTTCCAGTTGGGCTTCAGCTGGAAGATGAGCATAAAAATAATGAAAGGAGGATTTAGCCAGCCAGATCCTCAGCTGGGCGAGCTGGCGGTACTCGCAAACCAGCTCTGACAGTGCAGTCCAGCTGCTGACCTGGCCTCTGATTAAATTAATGAATTATTAATCTAACTCTACCATCTTTCCCTAAATCAAGTGCATACTGCATATCAGCAGCCCAGTATTACTTTTTAATGGCACAATCAGCATTGCAACTGGGACGGGAAGAGCTGAGCGCTCTGGAGGGGTCTGCAAATGATTCACTAATTGTGGGTTTAGGGAGGTTATGGAAGGTGATGAGGGTGCTGTGAGGTGCGGGGTAGGAAAGCACAGCAGGAGGAAAAGCTTTGACCCTGCATTGGACATGCAGGTGACACCCTGGGGACAGCGTGACAGCGCAGGCAGGAGGGACTAGCTGCTGTTTGCATGTGCAAATGCAATACATTTGGCAGCAGGGAGCAGGAAACCTGCTGTGCTGAGGCAAGGAGGGAGGGTGTCTGGAAGCTGGCAGGCTGCTCTAACCAGCTGAGCTTTGTCCTTTTGTGACCAGGCCATGGAGGTGAGTCCTGGGGCAGCTTTGGCCTTTCCCAAAAGTGCAGGCAGAGCATCTCCGTGGAGCTCCATCAGTCACTGCCACCCCCGTGGTGCTTGGACAGTGCCAGTGGCCGTGGCCAGGCTGTGTCCTCCTGTTCCCTGTTTCCCTTGGGACACTGGGGAGTTCAGCACATGTCCAGTACCTGGCTAATGGCCAGGCCAGGTCTGACCTGTGCCATGGGACAATAAGGCACTGTGCACCCTGGAGCGAGAGGGCTCTCTCTGTCCCTGGGTGCTGCTAGAATCTTCCTCTGCAGGTTTAGCTCATGTTTGCAAATCCTCCTCCCTTTCCCAGTGGAAGAGGAGCTTTTTGCTCCCTCTAAGAWGCTCCAGCCCCCTTGAACAGCACAGAGTCTGAGTCCGTGCACGAAGGGGATGTTTTGGGGAGGTCTGTGCTGGCACCCCGCACTCTGTGTCCCCCGGAGAGGTGTGGCAGGGAGCAGGGGAGCTCCGGCTGGGAGGCAGATGTTGCTGCTGCATCCCAGAGCGCTGGGATCTGCAGCTGGAATAACGGGCTGGGTGATGGAGCGGCGCCAGCCCCGTCCCACTGCTCTGGGGGGTGGTTTACGAGCCCCGGGAGGAAGCGCTCGTTAAAGTCGGGGATTTGAGAGCGTTTTGTTGGCAGCCAAGGAGGCGGTGCTGTGCTGTGTAAGGGATGAGAGGCGCCGGCTGCCAGCGCTCCCTCGGCCTCAGTGTTTCCGAAGCATCGGAGCCTGGTGGTGTCCAGCCCAGAAAGGAGCAGGGGGAAGGACCAGAAGGAGGAAACCCAGCGGGAAAAGCAGCTTTAAATGCTTTTTGAAGGAGGCACTTGTGCCTTGGGAGGTGCTGTTAGGTAGCTGGAGGTGGACGGGACAGCTCTCACCTGTGCCTGCTGTGCCATGCCAGGACAGCCAGGGACGATTGTTTGTCTTGGGCACAGCAGACAGACACTGTCAGCAGCTCCCAGTCAGCCCAGAGAAACCTGAAACTGGGCTAAGACCAGCATTGAGAAGCTCAGACTGCTCCAGTGAGGGGGTGTTTTGGGATTTTTACAGTGAAGAGGCAAGGTGAGGGTGCAGGGGGAGTTTGCAGGGAAGATGAGGGACAGGGACATGGGGAAGGGGATGCAGTGCAGCAGACAGGGCACCACAAGGGCTGGACTGGGGGCAGACTTGTAAATTATAGACAGACAAAATAACAAATCTTTAAATGCAGAAATGAGGTAACCCAGTGCAGGACCCTTTGCTGGGGGCTGGACTCCTCATTGCTCCAGGCTGGGTGCTGTGGGCCTGCACATGGTTRGTCTCAGTTTGGGGTTTGCTCTCCCCATTCCCGGGGCGTTGGGTGCTGCCAGTCCCACCTGACGGAGCTGCTCTGCTCTTGTCCTTGCAGTTGGTGACAAGGTGCCAGCGGACGTCCGGATCATCGAGATCCGCTCCACCACGCTGCGGGTGGACCAGTCCATCCTCACAGGTGCGTGTGGGCCTCGTGCAGCACAGGCAGCTTCCTTCTGCCCTATTCCCACAGGCAAATTTTGGAACTGATGCCAGGATAAGGGCTTTTCTGGGGTGGGAAACGGGTGGGGAAGCAAGATTTAGATGATGCTTGGACCTTCCCAGGTCCTTGAAGTTCCAGCATAGGTGAGATGTGTCCGGTGCTTGGGTATCCTTCCTGCAGAGTGCAAAGCCTGGGGSTTTCCCATGTGACATGTGGGATTTGACATCCCCATGTGGGTGTTTGGATGGTTTGGTGGCAAAGTGCTGCTCTGGAGCCCTATGGGGTGTGTGATGTGGGCTCGGAACAGGGCTGAGCTGAGGCTGGAGAGCAGCGTGGGTGGGCCATCTCTCCCCTCTTGTCTTGGCAGGGGAGTCCGTGTCAGTGATCAAACACGCTGATCCCATCCCTGACCCCCGGGCTGTCAACCAGGACAAGAAGAACATGCTTTTCTCCGTAAGTCCCTTGAACCTGTCTCTACCTCTCCTATGGTTTTCCAAAGGGGATGTGGGAGGTCTCTGAGCAGTAAAAGGGAATGCATGCATAARGCTTGAATCCATAAAAAGAGCCCCAAATCCATAAAAATAAGAACGTTCTTCATTTGGATTTCATTTGGGCTGTGGCATATAAGGCCTTTAAATACCTTGGGCAATCTCAGAGCCCCCTTTTTTTCCATCAAAGTAGGATGCATTATGGATGGAGAAGAGATTTCTGGTTGAGCCTGGAGCTATTGCAAATTTGGGTTTCCTCCTTTCTTATGCTCTTCTCAGGCAGAAGTTAAGTGCTCGAGGGGGAACAACTCTCAGGAAGGGTTCTCCTGCTCCTTAGAGTGGGTTTATATAAAAACCCAGGATGTCCCATTTTCCGCTTAACCAAGATCTCATGTTCTCCTTTCCCAACGAGCAGCCCGTTTCCCTGCTCAGCCCAAGAGCTTTCATGCCCACATAYCCACTCTGCCTTTGTCCTCCCCTCGCAGGGCACCAACATTGCAGCTGGCAAGGCCGTAGGGATCGTTATTGCAACSGGGGTGTACACCGAGATCGGCAAGATCCGAAACCAGATGGTGGAGACCGAGCCCGAGAAGACGCCGTTGCAGCAGAAGCTGGATGAGTTCAGCCAGCAGCTSTCCAAAGTGATCTTCCTGGTGTGCATCGCCGTTTGGGTCATCAACATCAGCCACTTCAGCGACCCTGTGCACGGTGGCTCCTGGTTTCGGGGTGCCATCTACTATTTCAAGATTTCGGTGGCGCTGGCAGTGGCCGCCATCCCCGAGGGCCTCCCGGCCGTCATCACCACCTGCCTGGCGCTGGGCACGCGCCGCATGGCCAAGAAAAACGCCATCGTGAGGAGCCTGCCCTCGGTGGAGACCCTGGGCTGCACCTCGGTCATCTGCTCCGACAAGACGGGCACGCTGACCACCAACCAGATGTCCGTGTGCCGGGTGAGCCGCGCGGGCTCTGCGGGTGCAGGGGGGATGTGAGAGCACCCCGTCCTGGGCTGATGGCTCTGTGTCCTCAGGATGGTGACATGTCAGCAATGTGGGGGTGCGCAGGGAGGAGGGCTCATAGGATGCCCCGAGGTTCCCCTGACCAGGGTCAATAAGGATCAGGGCTTCTCTTGGTTTGGGGGTAATTAGAAAACTCACTTTTATCAGCACATCAGTGGGGAGGGGCTGTTTTGCATTTCAGGGGTCACTCTGCAGGGAATGTTCCTGCCTGCTGGGATGTGACGTTGAGGCAGAGCTCCTGGAGATGTCGATACCATCAGCCTCCTCTGCTCTCATGCTCTTTTCCCCCTGCTTTTAACCAAACCCGTGAGAAACCCTGGGCCGTGCAAAATTACAAAGCTCAGACCCACGAAAGACATTTCTGATGGAGGGAGCTCTGGGGTGGTTTGGTGAAGAGTTTGAAGGCTCCTGAACTACCCCAGAGAGTTCTGGTCCCACGTGCCTGGCCACGTGGAGAAGTGACTTGTTAGGAAAGCCTGGACCATGCGAGTATTTCTCAGTTTCCCCACTAATCTGAGAGTGTCGGGAAAGCTGTTTACACGGCTTTGGCATGTCGGTTTTGTAGGAGAGCCTTGGAAAATGTGTTGCTGTGGGGAAAAAAGGACCTGGCCGCCGTCCCTCCTCTCTTACATGCRGATAGTGTGGGGGAAAGCTGTGACAGTGCTGCAAACTGGCCACGGGCTTTGGCCACTGGTCAGCTGAGCAAAATCGGCAGATGACTGGAAAGGTCGGGTGTTTCAAGCCTGGGAATGATTTAGAATGAGGCAGGGCTGGAGCAAGGCCGGGCCCAAACTGCCCAAATCTCACATGAGGAGGGGCTTCCCACCAGCCCCGTGTTCAGAGCCAGCGAGGCAGCGAAGCAAGGACAGGGTGAGCCCAGTGCTTGGGGTCTCTTTAGATGTGCACACTCTGCACACTCTGCACTGTGACTGTGCCTTCCCAAGCCACTTCCTACTGGAGGCTCTGCTCCTTGAACTGGGAARGAGGTGCCACCATCCCCTGCAGTGTGGCGCAGTCAGGAGAGTCAGGATGGTGACATTGGGGTGGGGAGATGGACAGAATGGGTCAGTGCCACTCAGGGGCTTTGGCATCAATCTTCATTTGCAGAATAAACTCAGCAAATTTGAAAAAAAAAAGAAAAAAAATTAATTCAAAATTCAAAGTATCCTCCAGCCCATCTCCCCACAACCATGATCTGTTCCAATATCTGTTTATTCCCTTGGCTGGATTCTGGCTCCAGGCCACCATCCTGGGAGCAGGGCTGGCCCCAGGACGCCCAGCCAGGGCTGTTAATGTTTAATGGACAGGGATTCCCGTGCTGACATGGGCAGGACGGGGCTGCCGGGCGGGTGGGTAAATATTTGTGCTGGGCAGCCGCTGGCGTGTCCAGGACAGGCTCCTGTGCCAAACAGCCAGCTCAGGCACGGGGCTGAGCAGCCAGGAARGCCTATGCATAACCTGGGAAAATGTATGAATTGAGTGTGATTTCATTAATTCAGGCGTTAATTGGGTGAGCAGAGCTGCTGGGCTGCAGGGCCTGCTCACTGTGTCACTGCTGCCATCGGGTCTGTCGAGCTGTGAGGTGACTCTGGAAAGGCTTCAGGTCTGGTTTCAAACCCTCAGCTGGGTTTTAAGGGCTGGGCCGTGTCTCTGGGTCCCGCTCAGTGCGGGGTCTTGTGGTCAGAGCGCTCTCTGAGCCAGCTCAGCAGAACACACATGGACCCCAGTTGGTCAGCAGGGGTGGAGCTGTGCCCCCAAAGCTCCCCAAAATGAGATACTTCGTGCCAGGGACCTGGTCCATCTGGGATGGCCAAGACTTTGGGCCTTTTGCTCTGACCTTGAGTCCACCAAGGTTACAGTAGCAAAGCCACAAACCCGTGTAGTAAATCAGAGTGAACCCGTGGTTTGTGTCACTGTGTGGTCAACTGGGGGTCTCTGAGACCACCATCCCTCCCAACCCAGGGTGTGGAGGAACCAGGAACAGCCTTCTCCCAACCATCTGATGACCATGGAGCTGTGAGCAGTGAGAGCCTGGCAGCAGAAGAAGGGACAGAGAAGCATCACAGCACTCTCTCCTCTCACACGTTTAAATCACTCTCCTAAAACTTGGAGCTCCCTTTTATGCATCATACCTTAATGTTCCAGGAAGGTGGTGTTTGGAAGTCAGGACCTGGAGTGGAGATGTGGACTCAGGGTGGGGGAAAGATGCTGGAACCCCGAGTCTGGGAGAAGGAGGTGATTATTGATACTTGGCTGCCTCTGAGATGGCTGCTGCTGTTTTGGGAGGCAGCAACAGGAAAGGGTTTATTTTCCACAAAGTTTTTAGCAGAGCCTGGGTGTGCAGTCTCCCATCCCTGGTGCAGCAGCTCAGAAGCTGTGCAGGCACTTTGCACTCTCCAGGGTGACCAAACCTGACCAAACCTGTCCTTGATTACTGGGAGACCTGCTGGGGGCCCCTGGGGGCTGTCCAGTGGTGCAGTGGGACTGCTTCCAGCACAGGAGGGAAATGATGCTGCTTTGTGGGCTGAGGGATGGAGTAGAGACTGGTGATTGCAGCTCTTGCAGTTCCAGACAGCAATCCTGCCCTGTCTGCCTCTCAGGAGCAGCTCTTATAAAGACACTGCAGAAAATACAGAGTGGTGGGGATGAATCCTTCCCACCTGTGCTCCCCACGAGCCCACAGCTGCTCCAGGGATGGTGCACCCAGCAGTGCCCTTTGCCTTCTGCAAGCACACACCAGCAGCACCCAGCAGTGTGGCACAGACCAGGGTCAGGCTGGATCTGTGGGGCAGAGGGGCACGAGCGATGCTTTGGGAGAAGGGTGCAGCCTTCATCAGCATGTAGTGACATTTTCCTTCTGCTGCATTAAACCCCCAAATCACTGGCGTGGCTTTGAAGGGTTCAGGGCAAGGGGAGGCCCTGGGTGCTGCTGGAGCTTCATGTCACTGTGCAGTGCAGGAGGTGGGGCAGCCCCTCGGTGACCCTGACTTGTCATCAGCMCCCCCATCTGAGCACAGCTTTCCCCCTCCTGCTACTGCTCCCAATATTATTTATGTTATTTTTGTGATGGAAACTTTAGTTCCACTCTTAACTTCTTAAGACACAGCTATTTCCTCTGGACTGTTTCCACTGCCCACAAACCTGCCCACTTCTCAGCCTGGAAATCTGCTGAGACATCGAACAGGCTGAGAGAGCTGGGGTGTTCAGCCTGGAGAAGAGAAGGCTCTGGGGAGACCYTGGAGATCCTGCCAGTGCCTAAAGGGGTTTCAAGARWGCWGGAGAAGGRCTTTGTACAAGGGCCTGGAGCAACAGGACAAGGGGCAATGGCTTTAAGCTGAAGGAGGGGAGATTTAGATCAGATATGAGGAAGGAATTGTTCCCTGTGAGGGTGGGAGGCCCTGGTACAGGGTGCCCAAAGAAGCTGTGGCTGCCCCTGGATCCCTGGAAGTGTCCAAGGCCAGGCTGGACAGGGCTTGGAGCAACTTGGGGTGGTGTAAGGTGTCCCATGGCAAGGGGTGGGATGGGATGAGCTTTAATTCCCTTCTGACCCAAACCATTCCCTGATTCTCTGATCACACCAAAACCCTGCAAACACCTCTGCAGTGCCCTGGCTGCCCCCACGCAAGCTGGGAGCAGCAGGAAATTTGATATAACCTCTGGTTGCTGTGGGTTATGTAGCACCTTTTTTTATAAAGGCATGGAAAAATTAAGGGCTTGGAATGTTTTTTGGTTTTTTTTTTTATTTCCCTTTTCCCTTCTTTAATAAGAAGGAYGCTATTGTGAAAGTAATAATTGTTTTGTAGCCATGAGCATTTGAAAACAAACAGACCCATATCAGGCAAAACCATCAGTGGCTGGGGTGGGTTCTTTCAGCTTTTTCAATAAATGAGTCTGGTTGGTGTTTCAGGAGTCCATTTTCTGAAGAGGCCAGGAGATTTTGGCTCTCCAATGCCCTTGGATGTCTCAAAAGGAGATGAAGGGTGCTCAGCCTTCAAAGGTCCCTTTTGATGTTGTCTCAGACTGGGTGGGTCACCTCGGGGTCTGAGTCTGTCATCTCTGGGGGGATTAAGTCATCAAAAGCTCTGTGTTTTGGCTCTTYCTCTTGAGTTTACACCCACTGCCAGAGGARCCCAGTGCMTCCAGAGGACCTGGGACAACTCTTSTGCAGCCCTTTGGCTCATTTTCTTCCAAGCCTTTCAGGGATGCTGAGGAGCCTCTGAGGGGCTGCCCTTKCCCAGGATGGGCCCTGGGAAAGGAGCTGAGGGCAATAGCCCAGTAAATGGAATATCTGCAAATGGCTGGGAAGCCAATGGGGGGGTTGTTTTGGGCACAGAACTACATCAAGAAAGGTTTGCTTTGAACCTGCTCCTCTGGTTTGCCTAAACCTGTAAAATAGGGAGGTGAGACAAGCCAGTGAGGTGTCCTGGTGCTGAGCATGCCCTGGGTCTGCTCCCCTGAATACACCCTTTACTGCCTGCCTTGGCCCTAAGCTCTCCCCTTCAGTGTGGGGGAGGCTCCCACCCACCTGCCAGCACGGCTGCATGAGGTGTCCATGGATTGTTAACAATAATTAATAATAACAGCAAATCAGCCTCTGTTTGTTACCAGTGGAAGGGAGAGAAGTGGGTGGTACCTGGAGCTGTCGCATCTCTGGTGCTGAGCGATGCCTCCTGATTTCTCCAGCATCTGTTTCGTCCCTCTCCTGGGGAACATCTCAAATAACCAGAGGAAAATAAACAGGGAAAAAAGAATTATTTTGAGACAGGTTGGAGAGGGACAATTGGAGAGGCACCTGCTTTCTGGAGGCATTGAGCAAGTTAATGGAGCTGAGGAGAGCAGCACTTCCCTGCAGCCAAACCTCTTCCTGGCTGCTCCCTGCAGTCAGGGAAATGCATTCACCAAACAATTTTTAATTAATTAATTAACTGATTAATTAGTTATGTTTCTTTTTTGCTTCAGTGTGGGTGATAAATAACGAGTAAGCAGAAATGAGCATCTCTGGGCTGCCTCCTTGGCTGGGGTCAGGCCCTGCTCTGGCTCCTGGGGGAGGCTGCCCTCAAAGTTGGGCTGTGCTGGGAGGGGACAAGGAGGAGCTGAGCTTGRGAACAGGGGAGGTTTTATTTCATTTTAGGATTTGAGGGATTTGTCTCATTTTGGCAGCCAGAGAGAAACTGGAAGGAGTTTGAAAGGCAAAAATCACTAAGAATAGACTGTGGGGGATTTGAATGTTTCACTGGGGCTTTATTGCTGAGCTGAGCTGTGGTCCCAGCAAGGCACAAGGCTGGTGGCTGAGAGCTGGCTGGGCAGGGGCAGCTGCTCAGATCCCGTCCTGCAGAGGCTTCAGAGGGTAGTCAGGGCAGGAGGGGAAACCTTGACCCAGCTCCTTTTCTGCTCCAAGGAAAACAGGCACCTTCTCAGGAACAGGCTCTGTTTCTCTCCTCTCTGTTGGAAATAAAGAGCTGGCGGAGGTGAACATGAAAAAGGCAGAGCTGGAAGGATTTGGGGACGRCCAGGAGTGGTGGCTGAGCAGGGAGGGGCTGAGCCTGGGACCAGCAGGACCAGCACTTGGACAGTGTGGGGTTTCCAGGCTGGGCACGAGGGTTGTACCGAAATTTGSTGCCTAATGCTCTGTTTCCACCTCTCCCCCGGTAGATGTTCATCATGGAGAAGGTGGAGGGCACCCAGTGCAGCCTGCACGAGTTCAGCATCACCGGCTCCACCTACGCCCCCGAGGGACAGATGTGAGTGACACGGGGTGGCCCTGGGCTGGCAGCACAGCTGGGGGGAGTGGGAGGGKTGGGCTCATGGTTGGGGGTCCCCATGAGCTGGGGAGAAAGGAGGGTTTTGCATGGGGGTTTGCAGCTCTGTCCATGGGGATACCTGCTGGGCACTGTCTTTTGGCCTTGCTGGGCTCACAGGTGACAGGTGRCCGACTGTCCTGTGCTGTCCATGGRGGCCAGGGCAGTTGTTTCACTGTCCCTCACATCCAACTCCTGCCCCACTCAGTTTGGGGGACTCTTRCCCCAGCTCTGCCTTCCCACTGCTCAGCACAGGGGCTCTCCCTTGGTTCTCCCTCCATTAGCAATCCCGAGAAAACAAGCCCACCTGCGAGCCAGAGAAGATGGAAAGTATGGGAATAGTGATGAATGAGGCTTCTTGCAATACCTGATGAGTCCCCAGATTTCTGGAGCCTGCACARTTTGGGTATTGAGCAGAGCTGTTACCCCTGCCTTGGGTGGGATGCACTGGCAATGGTTAAAGGGACTTGCAGATGGTGAAACCCCAGCAGGAAAGTGCTCCCTGAGCCCTGTCCCATGGCAGGGATGGCTCCCATGCCCAGGGCACGATCCTGTTGGTGGCAGGGSGTGTCTCAGGGCAGATGTGGYCTYTGCAGAGCTGCTGCTGAGGGCAGGGAGTGGAAMCTCTGGGGGCTTTTCCCTGCAGCATTACCCCAGACATGGGGGTTTCTGCTATTGCATTTATTTACTGCCCTTCCTTCAGAAAGTGATGATTGTCTCCGGAGTGGGGAAAGCAGGGAAGCAGGCAGATGAGAAGCTCAGCTGGTGGTGGGAGCACTCTCTGCTCCCTTTGGCTTTTCTCCCTGATCCCAGACACATTCGTCACCACGGTCCCTTCTGCTCAACTGTGGAGCAGCTGTAATTCATCCCAGCCTCAGACTTAATTTCATGAATATTTATAGAGCCAATTTGATCCTTGGCTGGGAATCTCCATTAAAAACTGAGCCAGGTCATAAGCTGGTGTCAATCAGTGCATTTCAATTAAAATTAAGGAGGACTGAGGGGGTGAATTTGTGCCTGCCAGCCTCTGAAGCTRGGGATAGCATTCCTCTGGGGACAGCATTCAGGGCTGCTGTTGGTCCACAACAATTGGTGTTTTACTCTTGAGTTTTGTTTCAACACTGTGCCTGTGTTGTGTATTGAGAGGGATGTGGGGGCTCCCTGAGGTGTCATGGAGAGATCCCMCATCCCCCAGTGCTGGTGGGACCGAAATGCTTCAGCCTGGCCTGGACAGGGGAGCGATTCATGCTGGACCTTGKGTTTGCTCACACAGCACCCAGCCTKCAGCCCTCTCTGATGCTCTCCCAGCTCATGGGTCTCACCTGGCTCTGTGCAGGGACAATGGAGCTGTGTCCCCCCATCCCTTACCAGCAACACCCAGGGGATCACGTGCTGCAAAAAGCACACCTGGTAYTTCCACCTTCTCAAATACCCAAATCCATCCAGAGTGTGCACAGCTCCCTCCTCCAGCCGCTGTCCCTTGCTGTGAGCCCAGGGCTGGGCAGTGTCTCCAGGCAGGAGCAGTGGATCTCCCTTCCCACTCACRGCTTGCTGCGGCTTCATCTCCCTCAGCAAACAGATTTTTCAGATTTTCTTGGCTGCTCACTGTTTTCCGCTCCCGAGCTGTAACAAGGGCTCCAAAATGTTCTTTCCATTGGGAACCAACAGTGGAATAAGCTGATCCTAGTAAATGCCTGACAAATTATTTTTCCAGCAAGCAGATGACCGGCTGGGTTTATACAGCTCTAACCTGCAGTTACCTCTGCTGGAACCACTGTAATTTTTATTTTCCTTCAAAACCACTGCTGCCATTCCTACCACCAGGCGAGGAGAAGCATCTGGCATGTCTGGAGTGTTTGGGGCTGCTCCTTTCCAGGACCTTTGTGCTCCTTTCCGTAGCAAAGAGCTGCTATTTAGGAAGCAAAGCCTACAGTTCACCACTTGCTTGGAAGCAGTCACAGCTGTGCWGCTCTTAAAGTTGTCTGCTGCTCTTAAACGCTCCCTTGGGTTCCCTGTGGAGTGTGAAACGGCATCACAGGGAGAAGGGACTTGCTGTTCGTTCCACAGCTCCTCTGGATCCCCAGCAAAAGAAAAACCCAACCCATTCAAAAGGAATGAATGTTAACCTGAGTTTCTTTGCCCCTCTTCCAGTCCATCACCTTCCTCATCAGCCTGTTGGCAGCCCCTGCTTGCTCCTTTTAACTCCTCTGCAACCCCCTTTATTCTGGGCCACTTCTAGAATTTWTTTGCCTTCTGTGGGAGGTGGTGGAGTCAACACCCCTGGATGTGTTTAAAAAAAAAGACTGAATGTGGCACTCAGTGCCGTGGTTTAGTTGATGTGGAGGTGTTGGGCTATAGGCTGGACTTGATGATCTTGAAAGTCTCTTCCAGCCTGGTTCATTCTGTGTGTGATTCTGTGTGTGATTTTTTTACTTGCAATTTAGTCGTGCCTCATTTCGTAAAGTACAAAATGTGAACCCGAGGATTTCTTGCCAGCCAGCTGGGGCTTTAACTGGGCTCCTTCTCCCACTTTTACAAGAGTGATCATAGGCTGGCAGGGGTCTGTAGATAAGCTCAGCGTGTTTGAAGCTGTGGGCTGGTGTAAGGCTGTTGGGGTTGTTTTCTGCCCGCAGCCTGAAGGACGAGCAGCCGGTGCAGTGCGGGCAGTACGACGGGCTGGTGGAGCTGGCCACCATCTGCGCCCTCTGCAATGACTCCTCACTGGACTACAACGAGGTGCGGGGCCACCACGGCCGGGCTGGGGTGGGGGGATGCTCTTGCTGTGCTTCAGGGCAAAGCCAGTGGAGTCTGTCCCTTGGGATCCCCTTCCCTGGCTTCAGCTCATCCAAGGCAATGCTCTGGTGCTCTGGGTCACAGCATCCTTGGTGGCAGCAGCACACTGAGGATGTGCTCTGAAGCTTAAGTTTGGGGTTTTTTTTCTGCCCTCCAGTCCAAAAAAGTCTATGAGAAGGTAGGGGAAGCCACTGAAACAGCCCTGACRTGCCTGGTGGAGAAGATGAACGTCTTCAACACGGACCTCAGCAAACTCTCCAAGGTGGAGAGAGCCAATGCCTGCAATTCGGTGAGTGGRGAGAGACCTCTGTGAGCGCCAGCCCTGGGGGGCAGGAGGGAGAGGASGCATTTAGGGTGTCTGCTGTGTGGGCAATAAACACTTGTAATGATCTAAGGGACTGATCTGGCACAAGGATGTGTTTTCCTGGCTCTCAGGGTGAGCTGGTTTTGGAACAGATGGTGCAGTGGCCCTGGGCGGCTGATGCCAGGGCCTTGAGGGCAAACGTGGAGCTTTGGAGCAGGTGATTCCTGAGGCTCCAACTCAGCCCAGCCCTTGCTCAGCCAGGAGAGATCCTCAGTAACAGCCAGAGCTCTGGCAGCAGATGAGGAAGCTTGGAGTTATCTTTAGGTGTCCCATTTGCACCAAGAGCCATCCTTCAGCATGAACCAAACCCCATTTCCCAGAGCCTTGCTTGCCCCAGTGACACTTGCTCCTTGGAAACATCGATTTTTGATATGAAAATATCTTGTGCTGGCTATTCCCCTACTCCAGCTCTCCAGTGTCTCCCTGTCCTCCTGAAATGGTGAAAATACACTTAATTTCCAGTCTGGATTTCCTCAGCTTTGGATCTTATAATGTCTTTACTTGCTCAAAGCCTCTCTCTTGCAGCATTTTTCCCCCGATAAATCTGTGCAGGTTGTAACAGATCTTCTGACTCTTTTCTGATATAGAAAGCTTGTAAGCTTTTAGCCCTGTCCCATCCCTCCTGGCTCCTGTGGCTGCCTTTGTCCTCCCTTCACTTGGGCTCAGCAGGGTAATCAGCCAAGGTGGAGAGTGCATGTCCCTGGAATGCCCCTGGCGTGTCCCTGACGTGTCTCTGGTGTGTCCCTGACGTGTCTCTGGTGTGTCCTTGGTGTGTCCCTGGCGTGTCCAGGCTCAGCCCAGCTCTGTCCCCACAGGTGATCAAGCAGCTGATGAAGAAGGAGTGCACCCTGGAGTTCTCCCGGGACCGCAAGTCCATGTCCGTGTACTGCACTACCACTGGGACAGGAAACAACTCTGCCAGCAGCAAGATGTTTGTCAAGGTAGGGGCCAAGAASCTCAGCACCTGCAGGGTCCTGCTCCCTCTGCACACCCTGCTGCATGGGGCTGTGATACTGCTCTGCAGTTCCTCTCCCATTYTATCTGCCCAGGGATTCAGGAGCCAGCAGGTAGGCTGGTGGGGTCAGGGAGGAGGTGAGTCTTTGCCATATTTCTTAGGAAAAAAAGGGGTTGAGATGATTTAGAGGAAGGAAAAGGTGCTGAGTGTGCTGGTGTTGCAGCAAWGGAGAGCTGCCCCTGTGCAGAATTYKGGCAYTTGCCTTTATTRAAGGCTTGGACYCTCCGGATGCCAGWAATGCCCAAAGGATGACGTCCTGAAATAGTGTTTCAYAGGGCATTTTCTTCCCAAGAGAAGAGATGCGGTGGAATTTCCCCCCGCTGACTCTGAGAAGATTTGTATATTRTTGTTTCCACTGGGAGATGATCTGGGTAGGTGAACTCTGTCCCCCAGCTCAGTCTGGGACCCTCTGAAGCCACTGGATCTGTGGCCCTGGGTGAGCTTCTTAAGAGGTTCAATAGAAGGAATGCAAGTTTTATATTAAAGAGCAGTGTCAGGGTCTTTTGTGAGGTCAGAAGGGCAGGGGTGAGATGCTGGGATGCTAAAGGACATGATTTCCTGGCTTGCAAAGGCATCACAAGCATCTGCTGAGTATCCCACATTTTTTTKCCACACAGATTTACAGCCCCCCATCCCCTCCAGCTCTGAGTGAGGATCTGTGGGGCAGACATGTAGGTTTTGCAGGGGTCAGCTGGCTCTCCAGCAGCTCCTGCTCTTGGTGACCTGGGGGTTGGTGCTCTGCGCTGTGATCCGGGTGTGCTCGGTCGGAGGCTGCCATCTAGTGTCCTGAGCGGCAGGGCCGGCTGTGCCAGCTGCAGTTTTGGGGGACATTTGCCCAAACTCGGTGCCTTCCCTCCCTCTGGCACTTCCTGCAGTGCTGGCAAGGGCTGCCCCATCCTCCAGCTCCACTGCAGCCCCTGAGCCCTGCGCTCCTCCGCAGGGTGCCCCGGAAAGCGTCATCGAGCGCTGCACCCACGTCCGTGTGGGCACTGCCAAGGTCCCGCTGACGGCCCCGGTGCGAGACAAGATCCTGGGCAGGATCCGGGACTGGGGCATGGGCATCGACACCCTGCGCTGCCTGGCCCTGGCCACCCACGACTCGCCTGTTTGCAGGGAGACCATGCAGCTGCACGACTCTGCCGCCTTTGTCCGCTACGAGGTACAGAACCGAAGTTTGGCCAGGAGCTTCCTTCCTTATTCCCAGAATTTCCCCATAGACTCCCAACTGTCCCAGCAGTATTTTCCCTTTGGTTTCTCTGTGGGCAATGTAATGGCTCAGCTCCTCTGTAAACCCCAGGGGCTGGTCCTAAGGATAACAAGCCCCATCTCACTGRGCATGTTTTTCCATGGAATGACTGCTGAGAGGGCCTTGGAGACCACTGTGAGGGATGGGGAAGAGGGGAACAAAGTAAAAAGATGTGAGGAGCAACAAAGAGAATTTATGTATCCCACTGAATTGTGGCTGCATCCATGGGGCAGCTGGTAGGAAACCTCCCCCTCGTAGGGGAAACCCCTGTGCCCAGGGGTTCACAGCAGGGAGGGAAGTGGAATGCATCCCCAGGGGTTAATGTGGGTCTGGGGTGTGTTCCCCCCTGCCCAGAACAACCTGACCTTCGTGGGCTGCGTGGGGATGCTGGACCCTCCCCGCAAGGAGGTCACCTCCTCCATCGAGATGTGCCGCAAGGCCGGCATCCGCGTCATCATGATCACCGGCGACAACAAGGGCACAGCAGTGGCCATCTGCCGCCGCATCGGCATCTTCTCAGAGAGCGAGGACGTGTCTGGCAAGGCCTACACGGGCCGGGAGTTCGACGAGCTGTCCCCCGAGGCGCAGCGCCAGGCGTGCCGCGAGGCTCGCTGCTTCGCCCGCGTGGAGCCGGCGCACAAGTCCCGCATCGTCGAGTACCTCCAGTCCTTCAACGAGATCACGGCCATGGTGAGCTCCTGCCATCCCCTGTCCCCTCCTCCCTGCCCAGCCCCGTCCCTTGCGCCCTTAACCACGCTTCTTGCAGACGGGTGACGGTGTCAACGATGCCCCAGCCCTGAAGAAGGCAGAGATCGGCATCGCCATGGGGTCGGGCACGGCTGTGGCCAAGTCGGCTGCTGAGATGGTGCTCTCCGACGACAACTTCTCCACCATCGTGTCGGCCGTCGAGGAGGGMAGAGCCATCTACAACAACATGAAGCAGTTCATCCGCTATCTCATCTCCTCCAAYGTCGGGGAGGTCGTTTGGTGAGAGCCCCCCACACTGGGCACCGTGCTGGGGGAGCAGCGGTGGGGGGACACATTCCCTGGGACAGGTGACCCACTGTCCTGTCCATGTCCCCTGCCCCTGGCTGCATGTAGTGCCCAAACTGGTAACCGTGGCCACCAAACAGAGCAGTGATGCCATGCCTCATTTCCCAGGGGCAGGGAGATTTTTCTTTTGTGGTTTTACAATCCCACCACCCCTCTGGAGCCATTCTGTTAAAGTGTTGCCTATTTAAGCCCATTCCAGCACCCGAGCCATGTGCAGATGTTTGTGCATGGGCTGTTGTCACCAATCACAGCTCTCCCTGCCCCTGCCAATCCCTCCCAGTCTTCAGCAACACGAGCACAACCTTGGGGTCACTTGGGCATCCTCTGCCTTTGTATTTCAGCATGGGTGTTGGTGCTGGGAGTGGGAACTTTGTGGCCATGGGAACATCAATGGTTGGGTTAGAACTGCAAAGCAAATTTTAATAGCAACAGGAACAAATTTTAGCTGGAAAATTCAGTGCTGGTTTTCAGGTTCCTGATCAGGGGCTGCAGGTTCATCTGCAGGACTTGGGGTGAATATTCAGTTTGGGGTTTTGGATCCAGGTCTCCCTGCATGACACAGACATTTTCTCTGGCTGTCCAGAGCTTGTCTAATTTCGCATCTCTCATTTTTCCCCTTCAGTATCTTCCTGACAGCCATCCTGGGCTTGCCTGAGGCCCTCATCCCTGTGCAGTTGCTGTGGGTGAACCTGGTGACGGACGGGTTGCCGGCCACTGCTCTGGGCTTCAACCCCCCCGACCTGGACATCATGGACAAGCAGCCCCGCAACCCCAAGGAGCCGCTCATCAGTGGCTGGCTCTTCTTCCGCTACCTGGCTGTKGGAGGTGAGTGCTGTTGGTGCAGGTGGGCAGAGTTGGGAGTGCCTGGGGTGTCCTGGGGCAGGGCCCCCTCTCTGGGTGCTGGGATAAGGGTGTCTCTCTCTTTCTCGGCCGCAGTGTATGTGGGCCTGGCTACAGTGGGCGCAGCGACCTGGTGGTTCCTGTACGACGCCGAGGGACCTCAGGTCTCCTTCCATCAGCTGGTGAGTCAGGTGGGGAGCAGGCTGATGACTGGAGCAGATGGRTGAGGGCATGTGTTCAGGTGTTGGGGTCGTTCACCTACCTTTCCTCTGTGGCGGTTGTACCATTCCCAGATTTCTGATGGAGAAGACAGTAATTTAAAACAGAAGCAAATTCTCTCCCTCAGGCTCATGTTTCCTGCCTTGCTTCTGCCAGCCTCCAGCACGGTAGTGATTCTTGATTCCAAGAAGCTGGAGGTAGCTCCTGTGCCTCATCCCATGTTGGAAGGGATCTGTTCTCACTTACATTACTGTAGCTGTGTGAAAACTGCAGAGTGGGGGGAAAGCAGGTGCTATCACATCMCAATGGACTGTGAGCAGTGCAAGGTGGATTTCTGATGGAGACACGTGTGGGCTCAAATTTCTTCCTCACTTCACCCAAGAGTCTCAAAGCCACTGTCCAGCCACACCCCTAAAGCCCATCCCCAGCAGAATCTGGGTCACTGTAGGCAGTTAATTGAACTGTGGGATTTCTAACAGCAACCCAGTTCCTCATGTGCCCCCCAAGCACACTCTTCCTGCTCTCTCCTGCCTTTCCTGCTGCTCTGCCATGTATTTACCAGTGGTTTCCTGTGCCAACAGAGGAACTTCATGAGGTGCACTGAGGACAATCCCATCTTCGAAGGAATTGACTGTGAGATCTTTGAGTCACGATACCCAACGACGATGGCTCTGTCCGTGCTGGTGACAATCGAAATGTGCAATGCTCTGAACAGGTGTGGTGGCCACAGACCTGCTCTGTTCTCTCTGTGCATGACTGGTTTTGTGCAGGGTCTGTTTGTGCCTCAGTGGGTTGGCAGAGGGCTTTTGCTTTGGCTCAGCAGAGCCATTCAGGGCATCCTCACGGGGTTTTCCATAAAGAAGCTCCTCCATGGCAGTGTGCTGCTGCTGACAGCAGTGAAGGAAGGTCTGGACCTGCATTTATTAGTGATTCGGTCATTAATGATTGGCCTGATCCATGCATGGCTGGTTGTGTTGGGCATCCAGATCCAATTCTCAGCAAAGCCTGAAGATGAACAGCCTGGAAAAGAAAGGAYGCAGCATGTGGCTGGGAACCTTGGAGGGGAATGGAACTCCCAGCATGGGCAGGGGTGGGGAGCAGGAGCAAGTTTTTGGAGCTAATGCTGTCCCTTCACTTTCACAGTGTCTCTGAGAACCAGTCGCTGCTGCGGATGCCCCCCTGGCTCAACATCTGGCTGCTGGGGGCCATCATCGTGTCCATGGCTCTGCATTTCCTCATCCTCTACGTCAAGCCCATGCCTGTGAGTGCCCTCTGCTGCTTCTGTGCTCCTCCTGTGGGTGAGGGCATTCCTGGAGCAATCTTTGGGTCTGGAAACCCCTGGGATGGCTGTCCCCAGCAGGTGCCCTCAGGACCAGGTCCCATGACTCAACCCAGCGTGGGAGCTAGGAGTTGTTYTGCCCCATGAGACAGAATTCAGAAGCTCTCCCTGTGTGCAGTGCAAAGGGGTGTAGATATCTCCAGAAAGTTGTTCAGCTCCTTTTTGAGTTATCTCCTTCCTTTGCAAGGCTGAGGATGCCTCGGCTGATGCCCAAAGGTGCTTCAGATGAAGGTGTCTCTGTGCCCAACGGGTTACATTGTCCCTTGTCCCCTGCTKAGYACCTSTGAGCACMTRAACACACARTCCYACCTTGTGCCTCACTTCCCCCATCTTCAGCAGAGGGGAAGGACATCATTTTTCACTCATCTCAGCCAAGAGCCAGCTTAGATCATCAAAGGAATCCTCCTCTTTGGGCTGTATGGTCCCTCCCTCCTTACACCTGGGATGAGCCCCTCTCAACCTTTGCCATACAACAAAGTGACACTCAAAACAACAAAATATCCCTTAAAACAATAAAATATCCCTTAAAACAATAAAATATCCCTTAAAACAAAACCATATCCCACCTGCTCCCCTAGTGACACCTCCAATCGTTTCCACCCTGCAGCTCATCTTCCAGGTGACCCCCCTGAGCTGGTCGCAGTGGGTGGTTGTGATGAAGATCTCCCTGCCCGTGATCCTGCTGGATGAAGGACTCAAGTACCTTTCCCGCAACCACCTGGATGGTGAGCATGGTCTGCACCACCCTGGCTTGGGGCAGCTCCCTGGCRCTTTGCTTGGGGTTCCTGGTGGCTTTGTGGATCCCTCACTCACCTCCTGCRCTCGTGTGATGTCTGCACCTCCATGTTCACCCACCCTTGTTTGTGCAAAGAGGATTTTTCTCCTACTCCCTTCCCTTCCAGTACCATGCCTGGCAGAGCAGCTGGTTCTTACATCTACTTGAAATGCTCCCTTTGAAGCTGGAGCACAAGATAAATCTGCCACAGGTTATTTATTCAAGTCCCCTTGAACCTCCAGGAATGGGATTCCTTTGCTTATAAAGCAAAACAGATCAAACACTGATTTCTAACAGGAACCCTTTCTTTATTCCTCTCAGATTTCCACCCCTCTCCATCCATCCTTATTTTGTGTTGGCTACCTCTATGCTAAGATAAATGGAGAGCTGAACACCTTATAAACTGGTTTTAATGGGGYTTCCCTTGGCCAGCACCTCTCAGGATCCAGTCCTTGGCACACCCGGAGGAGAGGCAGCTTCTGTGACCCTGGGGCAGCAGTTCCCGTGTGCTCCTGGGCTCTGGGCTGYAAATCACAGCATGTCTTTGGGCASCTCTCCAAGGAGATGATATCATCTTTTCTTTCATTTCTTGTGAAAGATATGGTGGGGGTATCTCAGTGCTGAGTTAAGCCCATGGGTTTTCCTGGCAGTGGCTGTGGTCCTGGGGCTGCCAAGGAGTGTCGTGCCTGCCACGGGGGTGGTACCTCTCCAGAAAACAGGTTTTATTCTTTTTTAGGGTGTGCTGACCCTGACAGCAGTAGCAGGGAGAAGAAGGGCAGGAAAGGCACTATCCTTGCTCAGGGAAGCTCAAGGGGCAGATGAACAATCTGAGTTTGAGGACTGGATGCCCTTCCACACCATCACTTTGCTCAAACCATTTTTTCACTCAGGCAATCAGTGTTACAGCAAACCCCCCATTTTCCTTTCACCCTGTAATAACAACCCAGAAGATCTGTGCAAAGATGCTCTTGCCTTTCTCGGCTGCAGGCAGGTCTGGCCAGCTCTGTCAGGGAGGGATCTGGGACATTGTAACAGCTGCGTTTGGTTTCTCATGGAGCAGAGCTTTGCAAGAGCTGAAAATATGGGATGGGAAAGTATTGCAGGCTGGAAATGATCACCAACTGCTCTCCCTCCCCACCAGTGTGCMGGTGGTGCTCACATCAGCCTTTCTGTGTCGAGCTGATGCAGAAACTCAGCAATTGCTCAGAGAAACAGAGGTGCAGGGGCTCCTGTTTTTACAGACCAAATAGAAATTGTTTCTAGCTTATTTTCACTGAAGTGTTGCATCTCTCCCCAAACACTCAGGTCGGTTGTATCCCATGATGAGGAGCAATTTCCCAGCGCATCACCGGGCTGGGGTGTACTGGAGCCGGTTCATTCCTGGCTGTTGCACCCCCTGCGTGCCCTCGGTCTTCACCATCTGTGATCTGGGCCTGAGTCTTTCTCCCACACTTTGTATTTCTCCATAAAATCTCAGCACTGCTGGAGGAAGGGTTTTTCTTTCACTCTGCCTGCACAGCTCTGAGCACAGCGAGGTTTCTTATAGGCACACAATCCTCTCAAGTGCCATCATACCAGCCTGGAGTGATTTCTCCTCCCATGCCATGCTCCCACTGTTCCAGTTCTTGGATTGCTCTGTCTCGGGGATCCAGGATTTTCCGTGTAGCTCTTCAATTATGGCTGTGGGGCAAAATTGCCACACTTAAATCACCAGACTTGAAAGATGTGATTGAAACTCTTCATCTTCCTGATTCCTCTGGGCTTTGAAAAGCAAAGGAAAAAAGCTTCCAAAAGCCACTTTTATATGTGGTTTTGTGATTTTTTCACCAGGCATTCTCAGGACAGTAGGACCCAAGTGGAGTGGAGAGCACCAGTTGAATACCTGCAAGACTCCAGAGCAAGGGTTGGCTTCCTTATGTGTCTCATCCCTCAATGCCRTGTCCCCCATGCTTCCTCTGCTTCCTGCAGGGTCCTGCTCATGTGGGGRCCTGCTTGGAATGTGTCTGGGTGAACATGGCTTGGATATATATCAGAGATACAATAACARAGCCCAGGGACCCTGTACTGAGACAGGATCTCGTTTCCCACAGTGGCCTCTGTGTTTTCCTTCAAAATAAGGTCTAACAAGCCTGTGAGGCAGCTGTTTGATGGCAGTTTTGGCCAGGGGCCAGGCTGCCACTTGTTCTCTGCAGGGCAGYACGTGGGGATGGTCTCCAGTGTGGGACCTTCCATGGGATGGCCAAGGGTGTTCAGCTGAGGAATGCAAATGTATAGCTGTGAGTTCTGCTGACTCAGGTTTTGCATGGAAAAGTTTCCCCTTTGGTGAGATTTAGATAAGTTGTGTTTCCATTATGCTGGATTTTCCTTGTCCTTGAAGTGGCAGAAGGCTGAGACTCCTCAGTCTTCACTGTGATCTCTGTGCTTTACATTCCTCTCCCCATCACCCTGCTCACGTCCAGCCTTTCATCTCAAATGCTTTGCATTTCTGGCTGCTTTCATCCTTCCCTGGCCCCTCTGAAGTTTCTGGCTGCCTCCATTTTGGGAGGCAATGTGAGTGTGAGAGCGAGTCAATGTGCAGGCTGGGTCAGGTTGGCTTGGTGTGAGCTGCAGATGTTCTGGTCAGGAACGTGGAGATGTTCTCAGGKATCTGTCACACGCTGGCAGGCTCACACAGGCTGACCACCCTCAGGGATCTCTTGCTGCAGCACCTTTAATATTTTCCATGCTCTGTGCATTCAAGTGTTTGCTCGTTTTGAATCCTGTGAGGAAGGTTTCCAGGCATCTGTGCCAAGGCTCTTTTCTGAGTGTTTCTCAGGAAGTACCAGATCTAGAGAGGACACTGTGTTCATGTACGTCTGTGCACCATCATATCCCACTGCTGAGGTCACCCTGCTCCCCTCCTTCACCGTCCCTGGACCTCTTCATGTTCTCCATCTCAAAGCAAACCCTTTGCAGATGCTGGAGCTGCTGCTTGCTGGTTCTCAGCACGTTCAGCAGCAGGTCCTGCCTGGGTGCTGAGCATCACCTTGTTTCACCTGGGCTGTGGTAAAAGCAGGGACAAATCACCATCACAGTKTTTTCTGCAACACAGCTACACAGCTTCCCTGACAGCAGCAGGGCCACTGAAAATCAGGAGTTTGGATGTACAGGAATTGACTTGATGTGTTTTGGGGCAGATTAGTGTTTATGCAGCTGTTTGTCCTTGTGTCCAGTTGGAAAAGCAGCCTCTGGGGTGATTTTGCAGGAGGTGCAAGGTGGTGGCCACCTCACCCTGTTTGTGTCCCCACCGGGTCCCTGTCCCCTCTTCCACAGGCAGCACTGTGCCCTGCAGTCTCCTGCTGCCACAGATGATGTGCAGGTGAGCATCTCCACCACCGAGGGAGTTTTGGCCATTTCTCTGCAAAGCTGGCATCMGCTTTAGGCATCAGCATCCTCCCAGAGGCGAGTGGATGGCAGAGGTGGCAGTGCAGTGACAAGTACATCACACTCCCTGCCAGGGGCAGATGGAGCTCTGCATCTGAGACAGCCCAAAATCTGCAGGAACCAAAATCTCCATGCCCCATCACAAAACCCCTCAAGCATATCGCAAAAAGGAGCTGCTCACCGTCGTTTTCCCCCATGCACCTGCACCTGGGTRYGAGGGAGCCCCTGGCACTGCCCAGGAGCACAGGGGCTGCTGCAGCTGCCCGTGTTCCCTGCGGAGGAGGCACCRTCCCTCTCGCTGGCACGGCAGAACCGGCAGCGAGCGCCTGCAGCCCTGGCCTGCCCTTGTAGGGTAATCTGTGYGTGGAGCTACCTTGGCTGGGTGCTGGCAGAGGAATGTGTCCCCATGGGCCAAGTCTTCCCTTGAGCTGTGGGGTGCTCTGCAGGAGAGCGGTGCTGCACCTTCCAGTGCTGGGATCTCCACACGTGATTTTACTGCTCTGCTGCCTCACTTTTAGTTTTTATTTCCCCCTCTCCTGTTTTTTCATACGTGTCCATGTGTCGTGCTTTAGAAATGGAAGAGCAGAGGGAAGGGTTGCTACCCTGGTGTTGCAAAGAAAAGAGGGGAGAATTTCCCTTTTGGTTTTCTCCTGCGGTCTGGGGTCTCTGCTGGAGCTTGGTGTGATGGGGGAGATGTGCAGTTTTCAGAGCTGCAGGGGCTGCAGTGTTTCCCTTGGTGAAGGAAGTGATCCGGTCTGGCAGTGGTAGCCTGCATCCCTCCAGCATCACATTTTACAGGAACCTCTTGAGGAAAATCTAAAGCAGTAAGGAAGAACCCCCCCAAATCCTCAGCTGTCCTAGCGGAGCAGGTCTTGGAGGAGCTGAGCTCACATTGTTCAGTTGCTGGTTTGAAAATGCTGAAGGACTGGGACACYCCTGGTGTGAGGCAGCATCCAGGGGGAGCGTGAATCCCCCACCATCTCTGCAAGCAGTTCCTGCATCCCTCTGTTCCTGTCACCAGTGTGAGGGAAGGACAGATGGACACTGGTGTGCAGGAACCTGCATCCACCTGAAGCCATGTGGGAGCTGGACTCTTGACTGGTTGCAGGGCTCATGGAAACACCTGACCATGGAAACTCCATGCCAGGGTGTGTTACTTAGAGGCCTGAGAGCAACATTTTGAAGAGCATTTACTGTGGTTAAACACTGCAGCCACATCCCCTTCCTGTCCCTGCCTGCCACATGCCCTGGCATCCTCCTCCCTGTTTGCACAGCCACGGTGTGATGTGTTCAGGGGAAGTGCCATGGCTGGCAAATAACTACTGCTGTGTCACTCGGTGGGGACTGCTCAGCTGCTGGAGGAGAGGAAGGACATGCTGCTGCAATGGGGAGAAGGTGAATTTTGATTATTGCAATGAGATTTAATGCAGTGCAGTCTCCAGCATCCCTGCTTTGCACCAAAGCCCGCAGTGTCATCCAGAGGGATGCTGCCATCACAGCAAACCATTCTATCCCAGGACAAGAGGGCTGGGCTCTGCAGCCAGCACTGGAAAAAAGTTTTGGCAGAAGTTGCAAAAAAGCTTTTTCCCTCTCTCTTGCCTGTTATTTATTAATTCCCCTGAAAGCTTGTCGGCACCAGGGCTGGCAGCAGGCACAGAGCCTCGTGGGTAACCCTGGGCAGGACCCCTATTTATCAAGAGCACAGGAACAGCAGTYCCCAGTGAGATGTGTTTGCTGATGTGTGCAGTGATGAAAGATGGAGAAATACAGTCAAAAGATTCGCGATAAGGGTATTTTCTAACTCTCGTTAGCAAGTGCTGCCTCTGGATGGTTTGTTTTTAAGGCAAAAGAATCTGTTCTGGGCAGACTGAGCTGCCCCAGGCTGGATGGCAGCTGCTGCCTCAGGGCTCAGGGACACTCCTGTCAACTGCTTCGAAACTGGGGATCTGGTTGATGTAGGTCAAGTTCTGGCWGGGATTTTGGGGCTGCTCACATGGAGTTCAAGCTGGATACCATCGCTTTTCTACAGGCCATGTGTTGCCTGTTACCTTCCATGTCCAGTCCCATCTGTCTGGAGGGAGGCAGAAGGCAGGAGGGCAGCCCTGGGATGGTGTCTGGGATGAGTAGGTTGGTTCTTGCTCACTGTTTTGGAGGTGTTCATGGGTGTAAGTACATGTGTTATGTAAGAGGTGTCAGCCCATGGCGCTGTGTCCATGTCTGTGGCTGTGGCAGGGCYGGGGCTCTGGGGTTGGGGCAGGATGCAGTGAGCTTCCTCCTCTCTGCACTGCTGCTTTTCCCTGGGTGATGTCTCATCAGGAGCAGCGAGGAGGGACCCTGCCTGCTTGCCTTCCCACATGGCTCCATCTTATCCCTTTTCCCAATTCCTGCAGAGATCTTCCTCACCCAGGGACTGACATCCTCCTCCTTCTGCTCCTCATGCAGCCTGAGCTGCTGTGGCTGCAGTCAGGCCAGCTCTGTGCAGACAGGATCCCAACTTCCTTCTGGGATCAGTCCAGGAACAACCACTCTTGGTAACAAAAGCTGCTTTGCTTTTGAATCCTCACCAATATTTTTCCTTCCCTTTTTTGGCTTCATTTCAGGAGAAGAGGACAAGAAATGAACGMCACCAAGGTGACACTCCGAACTAGAGGATCCCTAACTTGTAACTCGGACTGAAGTCTTGCATGCGTGACCATCACTAAAGCCAGCAGGACATGCATGTGTCCGACTACCAGACAAATGCGGGTGAATCGTCGAAAAGAAAAAATACTGATTTTGTTTTGTTCTGTAGCTTTCTTTTTCCTGTACATACGAGTGCAATTACTGGACAGCTGGCATAGGGTTTGGGGATGGAGCTGTGTGGATCTGAGTTGCTGTAATATGGTTCCTTGGGATTTGTTCCTGCCAAATTTGAGACCTTCTTTCCAATTTTCACCCTGACTGGGTGAGCTTGGGCAAGGTGTCCTTCACGGGAGATTAACACGGGAAATTGGGATTTTAGGCTGCATCCCCTAGTGGGATGGGTTGCACAGGGTAGGAAGGGCTTGGCAGTGAGTGAGGGCAGGGAGAGAGCAGAGGAGGCCTTTTGTTGTAGCCTTGATGCTGTCCACGGTGTTGGTGGGTGCATTGCTGCTGCTGTGCTCTGCTCCAGGGGCTGCAGCAGCTGGGAAWAGCACCAGTGTGTCCAGCAGTGGTGTGGATCTCACAGACATGTGTTTATACATCAAGGTCGGGTACATGTGGCAGAAGGGGAAGTTCTCCCTGTTTATCACACTGTCCTGTTTGATCCCTGTGTTATGGAAAGCCCAGCACCTTCTCAGCTCACCCAGCACCAAAGCATGATGAATTCTTGTCTGTTCTCCATCTGGCATCTTGCTAGATCCCATCTGCACTATATAAGCTGCAGTCCTTCTCAGTGTAGGGCCAGCCATGTAAAGCAAAGCAAGGGGATGCCCACCTTGCATTCCTCATGCCCACTCCCTCCTTGCTTTTTGCAGTGAATTTTTAACTATTTTCCTATCAGGAGTAGAGCTCAAGTGTTTAGGAGCACGTCCATGACTTCATATGCTCTGCTTTGGAAAACATCGCTGTCTTGCACAGGGCATCCTTGCCAAGGGATAAGATGGGAATGAATGTAAGCTTGTACATAATGTGGTCTTTCCCCATGRGTGGTGTTTGTTGTGGCATCCCTTTTTGTAAGGCTTTATTTTGTCCTCTGGGGATTTTTCTGCAGCAGGACTAAGACAGGCTGCAGTGAGAGTTTGTAGATCAGGAGTAGATTTTGGGATCCATTAAATTGATCTTTCTCCATTGAGCTGCATCATCTGAGAAGCTGATAATAGGCGGTTTCTTCTCCAGCTCTCCAAATCCTCCCTCCTGTTCTCATGATCCCTTATGATCCATCCTGGTGATACTTAGTTAGCCAGARCCTGTATCTTTCCTTTCTTTTACATTCCGGCAACAGCACTAGAGCCAGGGTCTGGGATAGCATTTGCTCCTTTGCTGTTGGGTATTTTCTTCYACTTTTTGCCTCTTAAAAGCTTCCAGTGTTTTTCTGTATCACCTCAGCAAGAGCTTCTCTCCTTCTGTACAGTAGGTGCCAAATATCATCCCTCCTTTCTTTTCTCCATCACCAGCATTGAAGATGAGCAGAGCCCCCTGACCAATGGGAATGTACAGAATTGTTATACTACTGAGCTTAAGTATTGTACAGAAAACCTTGCATGAAATATTGTTACTGTATTTAATATATAATGTATTCAAGGAATTTTAATATGGAGCTCTTTAAAAAGATCTTTATAGATACTCTGTGGTTAGAAGATTGTTGCTGATCTTTTTTAATCTTATTATACTTTGTCTTGAAGAAATTTTATTTTTCAAATGTGTTCTGTCTAAATGATTTAATCYATTGATCCCATGGGATGACCAATGCATCTTCAAAGATTTTTACCATGGATGAGACCAACCCTGCTGCATAGGGCCAGTACATGACCCAGGTACTACAYAAACTTTCAAAATAAGGCTTCAGTAAGACTAATGCTGTAGACAAGTGATTTGCCCTTCCCCAAAAGGGTGGATTTCACCTTATTTCAGTACAAGTCAGAGAATGAAAGAATTGTTTCAGCTGGGAAAGACGTCCAAGGATTGAGTCCATCTCCATCGCTCTGTGCAGAGAAACAACCAGTGGGAATTTAATCCAGTACAAGCTTGGAGACATCAGAGGAAACAGCTTTCCTGTTTCTCTGAGGCTGAAAACTGGTTTGGGAGAGGCTGGACTGGATTCAGAGCATCCCAGCCCTGTTTGGAGGGTCCAGCAGGGTTTCCAATAGCATCTCCCTGGGRCATGGTGGCCTTGGTCCTTTGTGCTTACAAGAACCTGCTTGGCCCATCCACCACCTGAATTACACTGTTTTCCCTGGACTTGGTGTTTGGTGGAGGGTTATTAATTTAACCCAAATACAGGTGGTGTGGAGATGTTTCTCTTGCAAAAGCCCAGTGTCACWCTGTTCATGCAGCCAGGTCACAATTGTGAGTTACCAAACCCTGAGCCATTGTGGGCAGGAAACCTGAGTTGTCCCCCAGCTTGTTCTTTCCAGCAGCAGCAAATTGCATTTTATTTCTATTGTGAACTCTATTTCTGTTGTCAGATCTGTCTAGGAAATAGCCCAGGTAATTTTCACTGGAACTGCCTGCAGCAGGCATTCCCCTTGCTCAGAGGGACCATTTTGACACATCCCCATTTTCTCCTCTTAATGGTTAACCACRTCTCTTGTCTTTCCCCCATCCTTTAATTACTTGGGAGTACAGGTTTCACCTTTTGAATTCATACTTTTTGGTTACAGGGGCTTCTACTTCAAACATCTTAATGAAGTAGAAAAATATCCATAGATGTAATTATTTTTTCTTTTATTCTTCAGTGAAGGGTCAGAATAAATCACAGAGTAGTTATTTATTGCATGTGTGCCAGCAGCAGCATGCTGGGAGCTTTTACAGGCTGGAACAGGTTCTTATGTACTCTTGGAGATCCCAGAGCCAAGACCATCACTTTGGGATGGGCTCTTGTGTCTTACCAAGCATCTGACAGTGCAATACAAGGGAGATGGACACTGGGTGGCTGTTTTGCCCAAGAGCTTTTTTAAAAAAGCRGCTTAGGGGCAAACCTCTGGGATCCTTGCTTTTCTTGGCAACAGAGGTTTGGAATTATTTCCTTTTTAGTTTTATTTTGATGGTGCTGCCTGGCATATTCTAAGTTTATAAATAAAACTCAGGTCTTTCCAGCGAGACCTTTAGCATTGGTGGGCTGCTGTGACAGATCCTCCACAAAATGCAGGGYGTAGGACATGCTGGGATGGCAGCATGGGATTATCCATGAGCACTTTATACTCCTTCCTCAGGGGCCAAGCACCGTGCTGGGGTATAGCCAAGGTGGGAGGGGAAGGTCCTGTGTCCCTGTGGCAAGCACAGGGGGATCAGCTTTGGGCAGTAGCTGTGGAAAGTCTTTTGCACTGCTTTGGGATATTATGTYGTTGTGGCCAGTTGCTGGATGAGCTCTTCCCCCTGTGGTGTGTGATCCCATGGGGATGCATGCTGGGAAAGGAAAAAGAGCAAAGTACTGCATCCTGCATTTTATTTGTKCAGTGTGGCCCAGGTCTGGATGAGGTTTTGTGTTTGTGGGTTTGGGGTTTTGGCACTGTGAACATCCCGTGTGTGTGTTTCTGGTGATTCTCTGCTCAGCCAAGGCTGGATGGCACCACCAGGCACTGGAGAGGGCAGTGGGAGGGACAGCTCTATGGAGGGGTGGGGGACTTTGCTCCTGTAAGAATGTCAGATTTGGGATTGAACTGGAGTTTCTGCTCACAGTGTGGATGGCAGAAGGAGGAGCAATAGGAAAACTCAGCATTAATTTTTGGTCCTTCTTTTGCATATCGGGTCGATAATACTGCTTCCCAGTCAGGGTCCACCAAAACTCATCAAGTAATGGTTTGAGTTGTGCAGAAGCTCCAGTTGGGAGATGTTCACGGGGTTCAGTGACCTTGGCTTACATCACTCCTGAACCTCAAACACACCAGAGTCCCTAATACCAATTCCTAAGACTTATTATGATTTTTGAACCATATCTGGCATGGCCATAATTTTGTATAAATGATGCCAGAGGTTCAGTCCCATCTGGGCTTTTTTCCCTCCCACTTTTGCAGTGGCATTTTCTGTCAAGGGAGACAGCCTGGGGCTCAGGTTTTTGTTATTGACCAAGGAGAAGGCTTTACTCCATGCAGATCTTTTGTGATGCAGTTGGGCTTAGGATTTTCAGTGCTGCAGTGAGGAGGAGGAGGAGACACAGGGTAAATTGTACTCCCTGGACCTGTTCTTGGGGTGCCGTTCAGCTTTTGGTGTGAGTGGGGCATTAAATGAGCCAAAACCTGTGTGTACCTGGAGTGATGGGCACTTGGGACCAAGAGGAGGGTGACCACCGAGCTGCCAGTGGGTGCCCTCAGCGGCTTCCATCTGGGAATATGCTGATTTTTTTAATATGAGATGCCTGAACAGCCAAAAGTAGAAATCTCTGAGATTGACTTGATAGCAAAAGGTAAATTGTTGTATCTTGGGGGGCGGGAGGGCGTTATCTGAGGGATAGAACTGAAAGAAATGAGGTTTCCTATTTTATTATATGAGAGATATTTTTCCACTAAGTTACTGCTTCCTAAACTGTGTCCTTTGTCTGACTGTAAATAGCCAGGTGTGCCGGGAAGATGTGGGAAGGCTCCTTGTGGTCACATCCATACAATCCACTCTGTTCACACAATATTGGGCTGATTTGTTTTATACTTAGGAAATTACAGAAATAAAAGCGATTTTAATGGATGACTCTGGTGGTTTTTTCTGTTGTTGTTGTTTCGCTTTTTTGGGCTTCTTTTTTTCTTTTCTTATCCTGCTTGTGGCCGATTTGGGGAACATTTGGGAGCCCATGGAGCCATAGGGGAGTGCCTGAGGGCATTCTTCAGCCCTAAAAGGATTTGTGCTCACCAGAACAGGATTTCTTGTGGGTTTTCAGAGGAGCCAAACTAGAAATGGAGCTCAGCTTGTGCCTGGCATGGGATGACAAAGGCAAAATGAACAGAGTGGCATGATATGACTGTTGGGAATTTTTTAATTCGCTCTTGGGGTACAAGAATACAAATAACAGTGCTAATTTTGACTGTATCCAGAATAGTCATCATCTTATCTCCCCCAGATGGGAGGGGAGCTTTAAATAAGCCCTGCAAAAATCTCCACAAGAAATAATTGTGAMATAAATAATAATTAAATAACTTGGCCTCCTTGGAGTGGATGGCACAAGGCTCAGGGCCATGAGTTTCCCTCTCTGCATCACTCGGAGCTCTGCCTATGATGAGGTTTGGAGCAGAAAATCCCAATGCAGCTGTGGGTCGTGTTTTGGAGCAAATCTGTCTTCATGGCAACATCTGGCCTTGGTGCTTTTTTGCTGGGATGTGGCCCCAMGTGTCCTTTCCTAATGCTGTGAGCAGGAGAAAGGTGGTGCACAGGGTAAGCCAGAAGTTTGCTGTCCACAGGGGGTTACAAAGAGGGACATGGGACACCCTGGCAAATGCTGATTTTGGGACAGGGCCATTGCTTGGCCTCCTCTTTCCGGGCACAGACTAATGTCAGAGCAAGAGGAGCACCTCTGCCATGGCTGGAAGTGACTCTCAAGCCAGTCCCCCATACCAGCCACTCCTGACAGTGAAATGCTGTCTCAGGACACAGTGGTGAAGGCAAAGACACTCTAAATTCCCCACCTGATGTTGTCAATCCCTGGACTCCTGGGGACCATCAGCTGGAGCTATGCTTGTCTTTTGAAGGCATGGTTCAGAAAACAGGTGTTATGCTCCTAAAGAAATCCCAAGGGTCCCTGTATCCCATGGCACGTGTCCAGCCACCCCATGGCATGTGCATCCACATTTCCAGAGGCCACAATGGCCACAGGGCCACTGACACCTTTGGGTACCCCCAGCACCTCGGGTTCATGTTTGCTTTGGCATCAGTTAAACTATTGCTGAAGTATTTCCAGGGAGAACTGTTGTCACAGCAACTTGGGATGGAAATGCCACTTGGAGGGGTGAGTACCACCAAAAACATCTCCTTGTGCTGGGGCGTCGCAGCACGGGACAAACACAGAGCCGAGCCAGCCCTGCTGGGAAGGAGCGAAGAGAGGTCAAGGACAAGTTAAAATTGGAAAGAAAACTGAACATGYTGTTTTGTAGGACCTTGCTTGCTCTCATCTGCCAATTTTTTTTCCACCCTCCCCATTGCAAGCGGGGCAGTGTGAACACCTCCTGTGGGTTGTGAGGGCAAGAGGGCTCTGGTAGCCAAAATTACTGGGAAGAGCCATTAGCTCTCATGGGCTCTTCTTGGCAACCTTTACCACAGCAGRTCCCCTCTGCACCCACCATCATATTTCAAATCTTGCCTCCGTGTTACTCCTCCCCATGCACAGATCTGCAGCATGCCGCACATTTTTGTGCTGAAATTCAGAGCTCTGTGTTGGACACTGCCAAGCATGAGTCTGGGTTGCGTAATGAGCTTCATCTATTATTTTTATGTTTTCTTTTCCCCTTAGCAATGTCTGAGAGCCTAGGAAGATCTGGTAGCTTTTATGCCTTCCACAGCTGTGCTTCTGTGGGTGCAGGTGGGCTCAGGCCCCATGCAGGCATTTTCAGAACCCTCTTTGTGCTCCAGCAATTCCTCCATCCTCTGGGTGCATGTCCCAGCTCAAAGCATGGATGCACTTGCATTTCCAAATGTCTCCWTTGAAAATACCAGTTTGCATTTTTCCCTCAGCTCCAAGCACAGGCTGAGTGTGTTTAAGGGGCAGGGGGAAGGAGTTCCTTTCACAGCCATGGATGGAGCTCTGTGCTCACCACAGCACTGCCAGGGATCCCCTTAGAGGGTCACCAACCCTTAATGCCCTTGGCATCTGGCCCAGCTGGAAGTGGAGATGCTGGATGAGGCCAAGCCTGGCACAGRGGACCAGTCAATGCCAGCTGACCCAGGGGAGTGTTTGGGAAATCTGGCCCTAGGCATTTGCAACCCCAGACACAAACATGGGCTTTAGAGCCTCATTTACTGTTGCTGCTTCAATTTTCCCCACCTGTGGGCAGTGRAACTCAATGGGCTCATTTTCCTTATTTCTACCTGATTTTAGAATCATAGAATCACAAAATAGTTTGGGTTGGAAGRGGCCTTAAAAATAATTTTGTTCCAACCCCCTGCCATGGACAGAGACATCTTCTCTAGACCAGGTTGCTCAAAGTCTCATCCAACCTTGCCTTGAACATTTCCAGTTCTACCCTCTGTGTTCTTGTGTTGTCCCACGTGGTCCCTTGTTTCCATGCTGCTCAGGCCAAGCCCAGTTCAGTGCTTTCTGTGCCCTGGGCAAACCCATCCTCAGTGCCCAGGACCTGCTGCAGCTGAACTCAAGGTGCTGCCCCTTCTCCAGCAGCATCTGCAGTCTTTGCACCCCCAGGGCCTCCCGCCTGCTCTGCTTGGAAATGGCCAAGAGATACTTATTCAGAGGAAATGGCTGTGAGTGCATTGACAGCATCATATGAGTTTGTGTTTGTGGTAACCCAAGGTAAACCCATCCCCAAGGTCCCAGCTACATGTGAGTATTGGTACAGAGGGTCACAGAACAGAACTCAGGCTGCACTTTACACAGTAGATTGATAAAAACCTCTTTCCCTTAATTCTATTTTTATTTTTCMTTTGGGTGTTACAGTAATGTGTGTATTATCACAGCAAACAGACATCCCAACCTGGCCTCAGGACAGCCCAGTGCCTGCACCCCAGCTGGAAGCATCACAGCCACATGATCTCAGCGTCTCTGGCCAGTGACAAATTTTAACAACTGAACAGCCCAGGGAGGGCACTGTCCCTYGATAACCAACTGGCAGAGGCAGGGAGGGGTGTTGGCAGCCACCTGGCACCACCATGGCACTATTGCAGGGCTACATAGGTGAGCAATGCCTGTCCAAACCTACTAAATTCCTTGTTATAAAGTAATTTACAGAGTGGCAAACCTGGGAATGGTGTGGGTGGGGCAGAGGTGTGAGCAACAGTGACGTGTGAGCCCACAAGTGTTTGGGCTGTGTTTTCTTCAAACATTTGCATGCTGTAACCAAGTGGGTGCCCATGCTGGGTGTTTGCATCAGCCTAGGAAAAGGCTCCTGTTGGTGCTCTGTGCTGGGGTCATCTGCTCTCCACATCACACCARATGTGTTGTGGGGTCCAGCCCCACTTGCCAGCTGCAACATGGCTCCAAGAGATTATAAAATGGTAGATTCATATTATCGCCCAATGGAAAGTATTTTAGCTAAATCCATGCTATAACCATTTTATTGACTCCAAATACCAGAGAGGAGGTTAGAAGTGACTCTTTCACAAGTCATTTTGCTGTTAAATTTAGCTGTCCTATTTTCATTATCCCCATGGCTTTGGCAAGGGTGAGCAGCCTTCCCTAAAAGGCCTCGTTTCATACAGTAAGTTATTTGCTTCTCTCCTGACAGATATCTAAGCTTATAAGGTTTGTCTGCTCCACTCAATAGCAGTATCAGCCTTCAATCTTGTATGATTAGCATCAGCATTTTGTATTTGCTTTTGGCTGCCTGTCTGACAGCTTTCCATGTTGCTGAGGAATGGGGCATTGGGATTGCATCACGKCACTTGCAACGTGGGATCATCTGATTTTGATTCCCGGGCTTCATGGTACACCCAAAAGATTTGGATAAATGGCTCCATTGCTTTCCCCCCAGTTTTCCTTATTGCACAGCAAAGGAAATTGATTTGTTCCACCTATTTCACAGTTGTCAGGTCTGTAATATATTGAGTTGAAAAGTCAATGTGACAGTGAGCAATGGGCAAGTGAACTTGAGAAGTGGTGATGCTAAAAGAAATATTCCAGAAAGAAAAGATTTATCCCAGCAGGGTAAGATTTTTCCATGTTTCCAAAACCATTTCCTCCTGCAGAGAAGGCCCTTGTCCCAGGCTTAGTGGCCACAGAGAACCAGTGTCTCCTTTGAAGCCAAGGGAGGCAGCAGATGAACAGGAGCTCATGGAGCCTGTCCCTGCCTGGAGTGCTGAAGCAGCTGGGTGATGGGATTTTCCAGGAAAAYATCCTCTCTTTCCCCTAGAAACACCTATCCTCAGCCCCAGTGCTCCCCAGCACAGAGCTCACCGCTGTGGGACTGCCCTGAGCTGCCCAGTGGGATGCAGTGGGACACAGGGTCCCCCATCCAAAGCCTCTGTGCTTTCTACAGCAAKGAGCAAACCCTCCTCAAGCATCCCACTGTGGCTGTTGGCCCCCACATTTCAGTCTGGTACMTTCAAATGCAGTCCCTTTCTCAGTGGCATTTGTTTAAAGTGGTGCCTGCGCCACTGCTGTGCATCCCTCGATGTGACCCCAGCATGCCCAGCCCCACTCACAGCCGGGCCTTTCAGGAAATGCTGGAAATGCTTTGAAATGCACCCAACCCAGCCCAGTGCAAGTGCTGGGAATGAGCCAAGCCCCAGCTGTCCAGCTTCAGCCCCGGGAAGAAGCCAAGCCAGGCACCCTTCTGCTCCATGGGTCAGCTCCGAGTGTCTGAGCTGGGCTTTCTGTGCCCTTCTTTCTCCTGACTCTTTTTCTGGGGTAGTTTTTGGGAGACAGAGTAGGACATGGGTTTGGGACACRCAGCCTGAGGCGGATGCTGTGGTAGGAAAGATGATATGCCAGACTTAATTCCTAAATTCTCTCCTGGGACCCACACCATCTCTTCCCCACTGTTGCCCCCCCAGAGATCCTTGCTCACCCCAAGCCCTGCCCGCAGCCTCTCTGTCCCAGGGAAGACCCCTCCTGGGCAAGGGAGCATCCCTCACAGGCAGATGGCTTTGTCCTGGTGGCATGTGAGCTTGGCAGCGGGGTGGCCCTGCACCCTCCCGCACCCTGTCCCACCCCCAGACCATGTAGGGCACCCGCTGCTCCCAGCCCAGAGCTTATAGGAAGAGGAAGCCCCATCCCTGCGCAGAGGAGGAAATCCGACAGCCCAGATGTGCACAGAGCCACGCCGATAGCATTCATATTTTCTTTTTTTTCTCTGCAAACAGAGGAGCTGCCGAAGCGGCGGCGGGCACGGCCCAACCCACGGCGTGGTGAACAGCCAGGAGGCTGCAGCACAGCCCTGGCACAGCCATGGGGCAGAAGTGCATGGACAGGGTGTCCTCCTTCCTCTTTGARTATGACACCCCTCGGATGGTGCTGGTGAGGAACAAGAAGGTGGGACTGACCTTCCGACTGATCCAGCTGATCGTCCTGGCGTACATCATCGGGTAAGGTTCCCTGGCTCCTGCCTTCTCTAAAATTAATGCTTTGCCACTGGGTTAAAAGTAACGGAGACAGAGGGGCTGCTGCATCCCCTAAATCCCAGTGCCGGGGKGTTATTGCTGATGGCATCACATCCCTCTGGCTGTGGCTGCTCCCGCGCAGCCCAGTGTCCCACCATGGCTCTTTCAGATGTGTCCTTAGTCTCTGTATTGTCCCCCAAAGCTGCGGGCTGGAGGCTTATCCCTGCCCAGCCCTGCTCCGCACACTAGGACTCCGTCTTTTCACTGAAGAGCATTCAAATCCTGCTCCAACTGCTGGACGGTGGCCTGAGATTCTGTTGTTATTTTTATTTTCATTTATATTAAATAAGAGGCATCTGGGGCCAGTGCAGTGATTTGTGAGACCCAAGTGGCTCAAGGCAGGGCCATAAATCTCCCTGTCCACCGCTCTGACGCTCGGCTGAGACAGAGCCTGGCTCCAAAATTCCTGGTCTGCTTTGCTTCTGGGAGGCAGTTCCAAGAGCCAACACGGTGCAAGGGCAACTGCTTAAAAAAGGCAAYGACTGGAGGAGGCAGGATCAGAGCTGGGTGAGGATGTGTGTCCTCAGGTGCCCCAGGGCTGCTCCTGCCCTGTCCCCTTGGTGTGGGATGCTATGGGATATAATGGTTGTAWGTCTTTGCTATGGCCCCATGGCTGCTGTGTGCTCAGCCCTAGGAGGAGACCAGTGCCTTTTCATGGAGAAGGGMCCCAGGGCAGGAGGTTTAAAGGGAGAGGGGATGTTTGGCTGTGAATTGGAAAATCTAGGAATTGTTGGGGTRCAGAGTGTCTCAAAGGAAAAGCAGTGGCTTGCAGGGCTCAGYGCAAGCAAGTCATTGTGGGGAGCAGAAGTGCCCACCCCTCCTTTTAGCACAGACTCCCTGGAAAGGGGAGAGTGRGGAACAGGGTWAMAGTGTGGGACCCCCATGCTGGTCCMACCTYGCTCATCAGTRCTTTGGCTCCCWAGGGTAATCSTCATGCCAAATTGAAGCCAAGGCCTCAAGGATGCTCTGTTTCAAAAGGTTTTGCGCTGGTGTTTCTGGGATCTTTGTCTCTCCCCTAAGGACTGAGCCAGGGTAGCTCCAGGGCTCCAGTCCCAAATGTGGCCAGGGGTAACTGCTCCTGTGGTTGTGGAACTGGCACAGATGGTTGCACAGAGCTGCTAAGGAAATGTGGCTTAAGCAACTTGGCTAAACTGAGACAGGAAATCAGGAGGGAGCCAAAAGAGAACCAACCTGAGGGTGACAGCCAGTGGCAGAGGGAAGGAATCCAGCATGAAGTTGCTGTAATTACCAAGGTTTTCCTGGTTTGTTGGGGTCAGGCTCCTCTAGCAAGGGGCTGCCTATGAGTGCATCTGCCYGCACCCCCACCAGCCCTTGGCATCCCCTCACTGCCCACTGCACCATCCACAGTTCCACAGCTCCCTTCCACAGCACAGCCTCCAGTTCCCTTCCACAGCACTGCCCACAGCTCCTTGCTCATAGCACTGCCCACAGCTCCCTTCCCACAGCACTGCCCACAGCTCCCTTCCCACAGCACTGCCCACAGTTCCCTGCCCTGAGGGAGACACTATCCCTGAGATTTTCTCTACTTTGAAAGTCAGTTTGGCAGCCAAATATGTATTTATTTACCATTCTCCCAGTTTTGGTCCCCTCTTGGCAGCAGGCATGGGATGATCGTGGGAATGCRTGCCAATGTGTGACTCTGCTGGAAGGACATGGGTAGTGACATCAGTGCAMACAAGTGGGGCCAACCCCCCTGTGAGACCCTGTGTTACCCCTGGGGAGCAGTTCTTTTCTCTGGTAACTGTGATAAGGTGGTATCACCRCTGGCCAGGCAATGCCAGGCACATTCTGGGTTTCACTTCCTGAAATCTCACATGCAAGGAGCTACAGGCTGAGCCACAGGATGAGGCCGATAAGAGAGGAGGGCTTGGTGGCTCTGGCACATAGGGGAGTGACACCAGGGGACTTTTACAATGTGGGCAGGACTCGCTGCAGCAATTACAGCCTCATGAGGAAATGGTGTTTTGTTTGCCATGACCTTGGCTTTGCATCAGGGGAGGTGGGGTCGCTCACCCCTGTGTGCCCACAGTCACTGCTGCCAGGGAGGGATGAGGTGACTGCAGCAGAGTCCGTGCTGGAGGCAGATCCAGGGAAACGTTCTGCCCCAGGTGCTGCCCAGCTCACAACCTCCTGCAGCCTGGAGGGCATCGGGGAAGATGTCCACTGTAAGCAGTGATACCCAGTACAGTCTTCTGCCCTGGAGAAGGATGTTGGAGCTGGGTGTCCCACCTGGGGTGGCAGCAGTGCTGAATTTCTGCTSCCTTCCCCAGGCACTGGAGCAGATGCCACCTCTGAGGTCCTCTTGCCCTCAGTCCTGCGATGCTGATGGGGCTACAAGCCAAAAAGCTCCATCCCCGAGAGGTCCCAACAAGGGCAGCACCGATAGGGAAAACGTTTGGACAGCACCTGGGGTCCCCCATTTTCCCTCCTGCCCATCAGCCAGGTGTCAGAGGCGAGGCTGACACGCCAGACTGGTGTCACGGGCTGTCCCACGGGTAGTGTGCTGCCCCTGTCACGGCCAGCAGGACCAATGCCTGCGGCGGTGGGGACAAAATCCAGATCGCTCCTTTTTTAGTGCCGGGAATGCTCCGCACCACCGGGAGCACTACCCGAAATGGTTGCTCGCCCATGTTTACAGTATCTCTGAGTCAGAGTTAATCCAGCGGCAGCTTGTTTATGCTGTAGGTTAAATAGTGTCAGGAGGCTGCCCTAATGACTGTGTGATGGGCTGGGAAAGGCAGGGAGAGCCCTGTTCCAGCCACAGCATGTCCTTAACCCTGCTCCTGCAGATCTCTTGCCCACAGGGCCATGGTTTCATGTTCCCTTTGCTGGATGGGGCACAGTGGCTCTGGATGTGAGCCATGTCCACACTCAGCTCTATGTTGGCCTTGGAGACATCGATTTTTGGAGAATTTATATGGAGTGGATCAGGAGGTCAGGAGTGTCCAGGTGGGTCACTGAGACCAGAAAGCAGCAAACCAGCCAGAGGCTTTAACCCCAAATGACCAATGGCTACCATGCTCCACCTGCCTTCACACACCCTCAGCCACAAAATGTGTCCCAGTCCCCAAAACACACCATCCTCGCATGAAAGTCAGGTCCTGCAGTTACCGCATCTGTCAGGCAAAGGGTGGGAAAATTCAGCAACATGTCCCTTGTCTAGCAGGAGAATGAAAGAATGATGGCCAGTGATTCCCCAGGTGAGACTTGGCAGAAAAAGCCCCAGTCCACAGGTCTGTGCTGAGATTATGGCTTCGTGGAGGAGTGCTGGTGGCCATGCTCACCCTCTGCCACCTTTCCCTGTCCAGGTGGGTGTTCCTCTACGAGAAGGGATACCAGTCCCAAGACAGCATCGTCAGCTCGGTCTCGGTGAAGTTGAAAGGGCTGACGCTGACCAACGAGAGCGTCCTGGGSCCACACATCTGGGATGTGGTGGACTATGTTTTCCCTCCCCAGGTAAGGAGTMAGGGTGGGTGGGTCAGGGATTTGCTTTTGTCCCACTGGCTGCTTTTCCCTCTGTGCTGGAGTGCAGAGAGTCCTTGGCATAGGCTTTCCATGGTGATAACCACGACGGGGTGTCCCTGTGATGAAAAGGAGGTTGCTCCTATCACAAACCTCTGCCCTGGCTCTCCCTGGGGAGCATCACTTGGGACCCACTATGGCTGATAAGATACATTTTAGGCTGCCTCCAAAAGGATCACAGCTCCTCCAATACCTCTGGACCAGCAACTCAGGCAGCAAGTGGCATCCTCCACTGTCCCTGGGGCTGGTGGCACTGCAGGTCCCCACCCAGGGACAGGCTCCCCACAGAGGAGACCCTGTGCTAGCTATGAGTTTGTTGGCTKTGTCTCCACAGGGGGACAACTCTTTCGTGGTGATGACCAACTTCATTGTCACTCCTGGACAGAAACAAGGAACCTGCCCAGAGGTAAATGCACTGGCTTCCTTCAGTGGGCTCAGCTCTGTAATTCAGGGTGGTTGTGGTGGTGGCACTGGGGAAAGACTTTCCCTAACATTGGAATGCTTTGTAAAAGCCTGAGCCTGGGCCCATGTTATTGTTTCTGACTACTGTGTGCTATGTGAAGACTTCYATTCTGCTGAAAAACAGGCAGCATCCATTTAAGCTTTCTTCCCTTTGAGACAACCAAACAGAGCAGACTTGAGGCTTAAATGAAAGCATCTGCCTGGAGTCAATAAAYCACCCCTTTTTTCTTGCTTTATCTGGACAGCCTTGGTTGGGAAGCAGTGAATGCATAGGGCTCTGGCTGCAGTTGAGTAGTTTTCCTCAAGGAAAATGCTGCCTGGTGAGGCAGGAGGGATTGAGGGATGGAAGCTGCAGAGTGGGATGCTGAGAGGTGGTTGCTTTCTCCAAACAGCTGCCAGAGGCTGGGCTGTGCACAAAGGACAGCGACTGCAGCAAAGGGAAATACAGCCGTCAGGGACAAGGTATGGCACACGGCTCCAGGGCAGGAGTACCGCTGTTTCTGGTGAGACACGCTGAGAAAAGCTACCTGGCTGGGGTGTCATGTGGTGGGGCACCTTCTTTGGACAGGGTGTAGGAAAAGCCTCTGACATGCTGGATGAAGTTCCCACCTGGGCTAGTGCAGCTCTGCTCTTTTGAAAGATACCGGAACTGCAAACAGCTCTGCCAACTAAAGGTTAATCAGGACTAAGCCATTTTCCCCAAACTGCTCTCCTCTTATCTCTTATCTTATCCTCTTCTTGAGTGTGTTTTAACAAGAGAAATCCCCAGCTGCTCTCCTGCACAGCAGTGTAAGAGAAACTGCTGTCCTGAGCTGAGAAGCCACAACTAATTTCCTGTTTTAAAAAGGTGGCAAAACCCTGAGCATTTTGTGCCCTGAATGTCTGTGGCAGAGCTGAAGCCCCAGTCAGACCCCCTCCATCCCAGCGTGAGGCTGAGATTTCACAGGATCCAGGGGTGTGAGCAGCTGTGTCCCCCACAGGGCTCAAGACTGGCAAGTGTGTGCACTTCAACAGCACTGTGAAGACCTGTGAGATCTTTGGCTGGTGCCCTGTTGAAGTTGATTACCATGTTCCCAGGTAAGGATGTTGTTGCTCTTTCCCACTCCAGCTGCACTTGGTGTGGGGCAGACCAAGTTGGGGCAGTACTGGATGTGGCTAGGACAGCCTACATCATGGAAGACCAGAAAGGGAAGGGATGAGTTCACCATTTTTCTGGGTCTGCTTGCCCCAGTTTGGGTTAATTTCCACCAAATGGGGCTTTCTCTAGAGCCTGGAGAGCCAAGTGATGGATGCATGTCTACACTTGCTTTCTTCAGCCCTGCCCTGCTGTCAGAAGCTGAGAAGTTTACCTTGTTCATCAAGAACAGTATCACCTTCCCCAAGTTCAAGGTGTCCAGGTAAGGAGAGATTTGGGGGTATGGCTCCTGGTTGGTTCCTCCAGTTATGTCCCTCAGAGGAAACCATCTGGGTTCAGCCAGTTGTGTGTAACGGGATGCTGGTATARAGGATTGCATACCTCATCAGTGATCCCAGGACTACTCCAACTGCTGCACTGAACCCCGGATTAGCTCACAGGAACTGAGATATTTCCCTCCCAAATCTGTCCCAGCTGGTAGCTGTAGTTACTGGAAAGATTTCTGGAATTAACCTCTCCTGGGTTATCCCCACAAGATGTACATAAAAATACCATTTATCTGAATTCTTCATTTTTCTTCTCTGAARACAACATTAAAATACTACATGGCCAAGATAAACTTGATGCCCCAGAGTCCCTCTTAACATCACAGATTCCATCTGTTTCAGCAAAGGAAACAGGGTTGGCCCCTTCCTGGCAGCACTGGGGGAAGTGCTRCTGGCTGAAGACACACTTATAAGAAGATTTGTGATGGCACTGATTATATATAAGATACATTTTAGGTTGCCTCCAAAAGGATCAGGGTTCCTCCAATGCCTCTGGACCAGCATCTCAGTCAGATATATATATATATCTGATTTGGAACAAATTAACAGAAGTTATTTGTGCTGAAGATGGCTGGTTCTTCTCACTAGGCTGATCTYGACCCCATGCTGCAGCCAAGGGTAAATGTCCTGGCAGCCGGCACACTTGGCAAAGTCTTGGGCTGACCTCACATTGTACCCCAAGAAGTGGCTGGGAGAGGGGTTCTCCCCAGTAGTGATGAGAGGTACCCTGAGCGAGGGCAGGCTAAAGGGGATGCAGAGAGGGAGCAGGTCCTGGCAGTGAGAGCAGCCAGGCTGGCTGCTGTGGCATGGGCTGTGCCAGACCCAGCTGGGCTGTGGGGAAACTTCCTGCCTTTGATCCCTGCTGACAATTAACTGCTGAGCATCAGTGATGGGAKGAGGTTGAGCAAGGCACAAGTATTACAAAACCATAGGCTTCACAGAGAGGATGTTTTTAGGCAAAAGAGCAGAATGGGATGGAAGGCAGTAAGTTGTCCTTTCCTTTTGACTCTTGCTGGAGGAGGATAGCAAACTCGAGCTAAATGTCAAAGCTGTAGGATACACGCACTRTCTATGAGGTGTCCCAGATAAGAAGTTTTAGTGCATGGAACATTGCCTAGCAAAGACCATAGACAGGCTGGCACGTGAATGAGAAAGGGACATTGGTTAGAGAAGCAGCCTCCACAGGTCCTTTCCCACCCAGAGTATTATGTTATTGAGAATCTTTTTCATTCTCTTTTCATTCACAGGCGCAACTTGGTTGAGAGCGTTACCAAGCAGCACCTGAAGAAATGCACCTATCACAAAGTCACCGAYTCCTTATGCCCTGTGTTTGAACTGGGATACATAGTGAAGGAGTCGGGTCAGAATTTTACCTTYCTGGCTGTTAAGGTACTTCAGTTTCAAGTTATGTTTCTTGCTGTTGATGGAAGAGGGACACTGGCAGTGCAATCATCCCCAGCTGTTGAGATGATTTTCTGTTTTCTCAAGAATTCTTGTGAAAACAAGTGTCAGAATTAGCTCATAAAGATTATAAATCTCCTTGGACATGGTCTAATATTTACTCCTTTCTTGGAAACTCTTGAGATTTGACCCAATAGCAGTAAATCCCAGGGTTCAGCTTGTTTTAATTCAAGCAATGAATAACTAGAGCTGTATGGCCAAATCCCATGTGACTGAGCTTGGAAATCCCGGCTGGATGGTCAGATAATGGTCATGCACAGTATAAACTGCAGCCTTTCCCCAGGYTCCAAAATGTAGCTTTGCCCAACACTCGTAAGGCTGGTGTGTGGGTGTATCTGCTATCTCTGCACTGCAGAACCTTGTGATAACTTTGCCAGACATTGAGTAAAATCAGAGGCTTGCATATATGAACATATATTGCCTACACTGAATCAGATGGCCCAGAGCAGCTGTGGCTGCCCCATTCCTGGCCAGGCTGGAGAAACCAGGTCTAGWGAAAGATGTCCTYSCCCRTGTCAARTGGTTGAAATGAGATGGTCTTTAAGGTCCCTTCCACACAAACCATTCTAAGATTCCATATATTATAGGAACAAGGAACAAAAATACAAGGTACTCTGGCACAGCTCTTTACAACCTGGAGGGGGCACAGRAGTGACTATTGCATTTCCTGAGCAATCTATGGGGCAAAGTCAGGCAAGGGAAGGCTGTCTCATGAGGACCAGAAGGGAACTGTGGTGAGCACCCTTCCTCAGGACCATGCCTTGGATGTGTTCTGGTCAGGAACAAGAGGGCATGAATTTATTTGTGTATCCAGCACTCAGGACAGAAACAAGTGCCTCTGCAAGGGGTTATATACAGGCCACAAAGCCAAGGTTGCCCAGGAAGGCTAAGGCAGAAGTGGGATCCTTGCATCTGGAGAGCCAGGACACCTCATGGCATCGAGACAGGAGGGAAAGCATTTCTCTGTGTGGGCCAGGTCCAAGRAGGCAACCTTGTGACTCCCTTCTCGGCTGCAGGGTGGAGTGGTGGGCATTACCATAGACTGGAACTGTGACCTTGACTGGCCCCTGCGCTACTGCAAACCCATTTACCAGTTCCATGGCCTTTACAATGATGACAGTAAYGTTTCACCAGGGTTCAACTTCAGGTAAGGAAATACCTGTTAATTCTCCAGGCATAATTCAGRTGTGACAGGTTTCAGATTCTCACAGCACTCAAGGGATGTGGAAGGTCAGAGACTGTTCTTCAAAACTTTGCAGTACCAGRCAGCAGTACCAGTGCTCTTTAAAATGGCAGAGAAAAGAAAAATGGCAGAGAAAATGATAATACACCCCTCGGCTTCAAAATTATCCCATTTCCTTTCCATCTCCTTCCCCTTGCGGGGTCTCCTGCTTGGCCAAGCTTTTGGGAAGCCAATTGTAAGACTGGAGATGGTGCAGGACAATCTGACATGTTCCCCCAGTCTCTATCCTCAGTTCTGTGTGACACTGTCACTAGTGCTGCACCAACAGCATTTGGGGACATCAGATCAAACAGCATTAGCAGGAGCTGGCACTCCAACCAGCTGGAACTCCAACCTGCAGGCAGGAAATTGAGACACAGAGAGGAGAGGTGCCAACAGCCCAGCTCCTTCAGGGCTTTAAGGAGAAGGTCAGGAGCAGGTCTGTGATAGCACATTCCCAGATTTTTGTCAAAGATCCTGATGCTATTTGGAATGCAGAGGCTGTTAGACACCCTGGCAGACCATTAACACTCACCATCCAATTGGACAGATATGCCAAATACTACAAAGAAGACGGGATGGAAAAGAGGACACTCTACAAGGTGTTTGGGATCCGGCTTGACATTTTGGTGAATGGCAAGGTAAGACTGGCCAGGCACCATGAATACCCCTGGATCCCTGAGACAGCAATGTCATGTCCTTGGGAAGGTACCAGCTTTGTAATACAGAACAGGGTCCTGTAGGATCAGGAAAATCTGTGTGAATGCTTTCCTTGGGTGCTGGCCCACTCTTAGGAGCAGTTGGGAAGTACTGGGGAAGGGAACAGAGGGGGAAAACATGTTTTATAGGTCACATCTTTCAGCTGCAGCTTGGTCAGTGTTTTCGTCTAAAAAACATTGGGGTGGGGGCTGCAACTGTGGAAACTCAAAACCTTTTACTGACATTTCCAAAAGCTGAATATTTGCATTTTTCTATTTTGTCTTTTTCATCCCACTGAGAGAGAAGGCTTTCCACATTGTGTTCCCACTGGGAATATTTAAAGTGTGTTCTTTTGTTTGGCTGCTTGATTTTGGTTGGGTTTCTTATATTAAATATACAGGAAGAAAAGTAGCTTCAATTTATTTCAGCCTAAAACCGACCTTCAATATTTTTCTGTTTGACCAGCTCTTTCCCAGCTCCTGTTTCTCTCATGCTGTGGTTGTGGTTTGTGTTGCTGTGAGGGCCTTTTGCTCAGCCCCATCTACAGCTACAGCACCCTTTTTTTTTTATTTCCCCTGGGCTGACTGTAACTTATCACCTATTTTCTCTGACTTTATCCAGGCAGGCAAATTTGACATCATCCCAACCATGACCACAATTGGCTCTGGAATTGGTATTTTTGGAGTGGTAAGTTCAGATATTTCCAGCCTCTATATGGAGACTCTCAAATTATTCTTCTTGCTTATGACATCCGTGGGAAGTGTCCTTCCCAGTGAAATACTGGCTATTGCTCAGGGAACCAGGGGTGGGCAAAAGGGGGAAAGAGGTGCTCTCCTGCCTCACTAGCTCAGGAAAATAGATTCCTGCTGGTCCCTGGCTGATGTGAATTCTGCCCTGCTGGCAAAGGGAAGACAAGCTCTCTTGGCAGGTCTTGGTATCCTGAGTTTCGATTTAGAGCTGGCATTGAGGGGGCTCTGGAAGTGATGGGCACTGTTTCACCCAGGACACAAACCCAGCATCCTATTTGGGTTGCTAAGGTCRTTAAAAACTTGGGCATGGCTCAAAGGGTGTTATGCTCTGCACTTAGCTGAAGTGGGAACACTTCAATTCTGCTGACTTCAATCACCCACTATTGAACATTTCATTTCTGTCCTAAATGGACAGAATTTCTCCTAAATTTGGAGACTTCAGCAACTGCCATGCTGTGGGATGAAGCAGAAGTGACCCTAAACTGTGGGGCAAACTGGGACAAACTGGAAGTACACAGTGGTCCAGGTGAGTTTGGAGGGCAGTTCCAACCCTAACTGCACTTTTATTTAAGGCCTCTGTCCTCTGCGACCTGCTCCTGCTGCATTTTCTCCATGGACGAGACTATTACAAGCAGAAGAAATTCAAATATGCAGAACCGGAGCCTGTAAGTAACAGAGAGTGCCTGCTCTGCAGAGGCTCTTGCGGGGGGGATGTAGATATGTGCATGAGTAATGATGCTGTAACACAAGCATCCACRCTGAGGGGCAACCAGGCGCCTTCCTGAGCTCTTGGGACTGTTGGAGACTGYGATCCATGCCTCTCCTCTCCAAAATTACTGAGATTTTATGTGTGACTCACTATTAATAAATTCATTCTCTCCCTTTAACCCCAGATATTCTGGTATTGCTTTAAGGGAAGTAGGGRCAGACCAATGCTTTAAGCAAACTAGAAAATGGTCTCTTTTTTTCCCTTTGAAAACATCTCCATGACCATGGAGTGTTTCATGGCTTTTAATAGGACACAAAAAGAGTTCCCCTCAAATTTATCTGAAAATATACTTATGGATTGGGGGTTAGGAGTTGATGCCCAGTCACATTTTTTCCCTGGTATTAGAAAGAAGCAGGTCTGTAAAAGAATCTTTGTTTTCTCTCATTTAACCCCCAGTCAAAGTCACATAAGAAGGAAAAGGAGCCAGACAACACGCAGTGAGAGGTGAGTGGTGATTCCCCAGCCTTGCTAGCACACATCTGGTAGGCATGAGGGCTATGGGTCTTGGGGCTATCCCGAGGGCTCTGGGAAGGCAGCAGGGCTCCAGGGAAGGCAGCAGGGCTCCAGGGAGGCTTGGAGGAGATCTGAGATGTGGGTTGTAATGTCTAACATGGGGTCAGCCTTTTGCAGCATAAGCAATTGCACGGGGCAGCAGCAAATGCAGGATGTGGGACTGACATGGTGTCTTGAAGAAGGGCAGTGGGGGGCAAGACACCAGAAATCACTGTGCACGTCTCTCTTGGCAGAATCCACACTGACAGACAGACCTGCACCCCTCTTCCTCCTCCTCTTCTCTTAAAACTTGGTCGCCATCCCCATCACCTCCCTGGGCCAGCCCTAAAACCAGCAGGAGCAGCATCCAGCACCACCTCATGGGAAGGTGGTGCCCCGCAGCCAGCCCACAGTCTCTGGTGGGACATGCCACAATGCTGTGGATGGGTCAAACTAAGGGATCTTGGGGCCCTCTGCCAGCCCTGCTGCAGGGTGCTGGGTCTGCTGCCATTGCAGGCCCTTCAGAAGGACTCCCACTGCACCTTGCCTGTTCTGCCAGGGTTGTGCCAGGGCATCTGCACCTGAAGCCCCTGGGGAGAGCACAGCTGCCTCTTCCTTCCCAAAACATCCTTGGACAGCTCCAAATTGAGAAGGGGAGGGAAGGAGAGCTGGCAGGAACCATGCCCAGCCTCTCTCCCTGGGAGAAAAATGGTTATTTTGTAAGGATGTATTTTATTAAAAAAACAAAAAAATAAACCTTTAGTTTTTCTACTACATCCCTTTGTGGTGCCTGTGCTTSCCCCAGAGCACAATGTTTGCAATGGTTTCTGGAGGGTTTGTGCATGCAAAGCAATCGCATCAGTGATGACTCCTTCAGAAACCTGGGCCCCTGGGCCTCTGCCATGAGCAGGGGCTGTTATCAGTGTTGTCACTTGGGTTTCCTCCTCAGACAGCCTGGYTGGCAGGGAGTGCTGGCACACTGCCAGCCACGGCGATCCACTGTCCTGTGCCAGCTCTGCCTTCACTGCCCATGCCGGTCAGTGTTAGCTGGTCAGAATGGACTTTCTCAGCAGCAGCCTCGCATACCAACYCTTTGCACCCAGAAACTAAACTGCCCTCTCTGCCAGAAGATTTGTACTGCTCAGCAGGTGTATCTGGACATCACAGGCTAMGCCCAAACCCCACATCCCTGCAAGCAAACCCTGCCCTTCCTGCTGGCTCTGTTCCATACTCCAGGACACATCAGCACTGACTTTCTGCACAGACCCTCTCTAAATGTCCTTTTTTATCTCCCCGAGAAAATTTTGCCTTGGTCCCCCAAAAGTGGACCCCACCTGCTGTGGAAAAGTCAGTGGAGAAGCTGTAGGGCTTCTTATGCTGACAGAGCCTGTAGGACAGATGCACTCCTCCATGGTTTAAAGGATACAAGCACGTGCCACAGACAGATGCAGGTGATAGTTGATCATAAGCTCAACAAACATTTCAAGCCATACATTCCCCAGTGGGAGATGATTTACACTCARCAGGATGCCTCAGCTTTCACAAGCAGGATTAACTTTTTCACCCTTTCCTGTGCTGCCGTCCTGTGTCAGAGAGGTGCCAGGTGTTTACACTAAGGATGCAGAGAGGGTAAGGGAAAGCTGCCTGGTCTCTGGAGGCTTCGGTGCCTGTTCAGCRGGGGCTGGGGGATCCCCCATCCCGGGGGCTCTCCTGCAGCACCCATCGAGGCCAAGACTGCACGGTTCCATGTGGTGCCGCGGCACAGCTCCCCAGCAAGCTGCCACCAGCAGAGGGGACTGCAAGACCATTTCACGCAGACGTTCCTGGGGAAAATCCGGTTTCCAGATACAGTGAAGCGAGAGCGTTCAGGCAACCTTTCGCAACCACTTACACCGGGTCAGTCTCCGGTCAAAACTTAAAATAACAAACGTAAGGCTGCAGGTAAAGCTGCGGGGTGTTTCTGCCTGGTTAATCTTTCAAGCTGCTTGTAATGCAAAGCCCCTATTCTTTCCTAGGAAGAATTAAAAAGCAGAATATGAAATCAGGAAAAATGCAACTTGTAAATGATCGCCTCTAGTAGCTATTCTAAACTCCTGAGYTGGGATCCCTAAAAGTCCCAAGGCTGCTTTAAAAATCATGGAAGGATTTATTTTCATCTCTTTAGCTTGTTTTTTAAAATGCACAATCTTTACGCATTTTTTTTTTTTCTCTTTTCATTCATCATTTCTGCAACCAGCAGAATGAGATATTGCAATTTTAATTCTTTCCCCTAAACAAACTTCTCCTCAAAGCCAGGGGCCTCAGGCCCTGAGGCTCCCAGTGGGGTGCCAAACAGAGCGATGGCTGGAAGAACAGAGGATTTCTGTAAGAAACTCAGCAAGTCTCAGATTTTACCATACACTGGTCCCCTCTGCTGTATGAAAAGGCAGAGAAAGCCCGTGGCATTTGTTTCAGCCCTTTTTGCCAGAGGGGCTGGAGCTGGTGCTCAGGAGTTGGAAAGCAAGGAGGAAGGGCTGCTCTGTTCAGCCCCATGGGGAGCCTGCCTTGAGACAGGKGCTCCACTTCAGCACTGCAGCCCCCTCCCAGTGCCTTCCAGGYTGCCATAACTCACRCAAAGTTACTGAATGCAGTACAGGACACAACACTTAAAAGCTAGAGCCTCATAGATGGAAATGTAGACAGGTTAAGACATTTGGTGTTGCAAGTCCTAGCGGGGAAATGTGGATAATCAGCAGGATCATATTCCCGTCCTCTTGGCTTGACCTGGTCCTGCTCTTAGGGTCGGGAAGAATGTACTTTTCTTAGAAGAATTTCTTTGTGCTGTGGCCAGAAAACAACTGCATTTGAAGCTGTTAAGATGTGGTCAATATGTCCAGCTGCTCTCTGACCTCTGAGCAGCAATCTGAAGYGTTACAGAATCCTGAAGGGATTTGGTCATCATGTCAAGACCCCTTCAATGACAGTTTGCTGTGTTGCTTCCCATTCATGTTGTGGCCAATTGAGGTTGGGCTACTCGTGGGGTTTTGTTAACTCCTTGTTTAATTGCTTTTTGTTTTTTACACTGTTATTAACGAACAGAAAAGGAACTTTCAGCAATTCAAACACTGTCCCAGAAAACACACAAGAATGAATATATATTATCCAGCTAATCCCTAATCTTTACAATCAGCATTAACAAGCTCTTGTATGTGATAGTGTCAGTGCTCCAAGGGTCTTGAGGACTCTTGCCTTGATCATGTGTGTTAGATGACAAAAGCAAGCAATGAATTCAGTGTGACTATTCCCATTTCATAGAAAGATAAACCAAGATACAAGCAAATAATTTTTGAACATTGATTTAAATGTAGTGAGAATTTTCTGCTTCTGACCAGCTTTTTATCTGTAAAGGCTACTAGGTTGGACCTAATACAGATATATCTTTTTACTCCCACAGTCATGGTTACTTTGAAAAAAATCAAGTAGCACAGACATTCCAGAAGAGCAATTACAGAAAAACTTATTTGGCAATAATTATGCTGGTTAGTAATTCTGCAGAGATGATGAATTATATTTCCATCTCTGCAGAGCTGGCAACATTTAATCATTATGTTTGTGCTCAATTCCCAGCACAATGAGGCCCTGATTTCCACCTGGCACTTCCAGACACTGTAACAAGGCAAATTAAAATGAGTAACACTCAAGAAGAAGATAACTCCTTTCCTGTGCAACCTCTCCTCTTTTAAAGCCCACTCATTCTTTCTGTGGCACAGCAGACTCCCTKTTATTTTTTACCCAGTCCTCCTCTTAGGAAATTCTTGGATTTCTCCCTAAAAAAAGCACCTGCCTTTCTGGTTACACTATTTCCCTTTCTCTTTTGTTGTGGGAGCATGTTTTCAGTTGGATAAATCCTCTGGCTGAGATACAGTGAAGGACTGGCAGGAGCATGCATATCTTCCCAGGTCTGAAGGATGCTTTTATTTCCTTCTGTCCCACAGCTGGGCATTCTCAGGCCAGACTGTGTTGGGTGGCAAAAGGATCTTCTTGGCCATTCGAGCACTTGATATCTGCAGCTCAGCCTGCAGCCACCCTCCTGGGGACAGTGTGGTTGTTCCAGCCCATTTTCACTGCTGCCAGCCCTGCATTAATTATGCCACACTATAAACTTAGGCTTCCTTTGGTCAAGTATTCTCTCCTTCTGTTATCTAATTGCTTTATTGCCTTATTTTAGAAAGTGTAAAATTCAAAAGTGTCCAAATGGGTTCTGAATATAGCAATAGCTCAGTCACCTGATGGGCTCTTCAGCAGGGGTGAATCAGGATTGCTCCAGTTAACAGGGCTCTGCTTACCAGTACCAAGTACAGATCCAGCTCACCTTCATGGCACTACAAAGAGATTTACTAAAAAAAACTATGGCTTTAAATCTTTTTTTATCTAAACATAATAGTGACATGCCTGAGGAAATGTAAGCTCTCCCCCTCATGACTGTAACTCAAGGACAGGTTAAATAAACACATTCCCAGTCCTTGCACCCAAAAAAACATGTGCAAAATCAGTTACCAACCAACCAACTCAATCATTATTGAACAGAAATATCAAAGTCTTATTTTAACATTATTATAACCATTGTGGTCTAAGCATCAGAGAGACATTGTTTGTGACTCTGTTTCCACTGGCCACAACGGCTCTGCACTGTAATCACCTGTGCATGATAAAAAGGGAAACTAAGGCACAGGATTTGTTTTTCTGGTCGAAACAGCAGGTTCTGACTGAGCTGAGTCAGCCAGGTTATTTCATTAAGTCAAGCGCTCTCAGTCTTTTCCAGAGTTGATCGTTTCAAACCTTGATACTGATGCTAAACTGYGCTTCAATTATACTGTGATTTAAACTGCCTGGTGCTAAAGAAGGCAGACCTATAGGGGACAAAYATCAGCACTTTCCAGTCAGCATCTTGTAAACATCTCAAAGCCAAATTAATCACTCCAAATGACTTCTGGAATCCTTGCAAAACTTCCTCAGCAGTAGTTAAGGCAAGAGGAGCAGGAGGCTGAAAAGTTCACTTATTGCTCAGGAGAAGCTGAGTTGGCCCTGCATGAGCAAGTCCCTGCTTGATTGAATTGCAAGCTTCTGTGAAACAGGTCAGTGTTTTGGTGTACATGGTCTTTCAGAGCACCTCTCATGCCCTGAAGCCACAGGAGCACAGTCCCTCCACAGGCACAGCCACATTCCTGGGTCCTGGGCACATACTCCCAGACACATACTCCCAGGCATCGAGGACAKAGGGGCTTTGCTGGGGCTTTCACTCAGGGCTGGGAGGAGGCTTTACTTTTGCTCATGGCTGCCTTGAGGTGATATCTAATCAGAGTCATTAGCTAATATCCAGAGCTGCTGGAAGACAACGACAACTTTGGAAGCACAAACTCAAGGTGATGGTGCTCTCTGCTGTGCTGTTACAATCACAGAATCATTTTGGTTGGAAAAGATCTCTGAAATCATCCAGTGCAACCACAAACATAACAAGTGCTACTAAACCATGTCCCTAAGTGCCACATCTACATGTCTTTGGTCATCCTAAAATGCAGCAGGCTTTGCCATCCTCCCACTGGTTATCACGCYGCTGTTCACCTGCTCCAAGAGCCCCTCACTGCCCCTGTCCTTCCCWTTCATGGAAGATCTCTGCTGGATTTTCTCTGTGATGAGCTGAAAACACAACCCTTTGTAGTTTTCTGAAAGGAATCRCTTCACTGAATGTAGCAACTCTTTAGTAGTCAAGTTTTGAACCACATAACATTTCAATTCCAAGTGGTTTTGACTGAAAATTGGCAAAGAGAAGGTACAAATATTTTAGATGGAAGTGAAAGGGCATTAGCCCTGAATAAACCTGTTCTTCTGGAGAGAGTTGCTCAGCTGCCTGTGACCAGCCAGGGTGACAAAGCACATTTCTGCAGGAAAAGAAAGACTTGGATGCACATAGCAAAGAGCAGCAGGGTATGTCTAACTATAATAAACATACACACAGAATGAATAAATGAAAAAATCACAGTCTTTGCTAGGCTTACAAGATGACTTTGCTGTTTTGATCAATAGTGCCTTGTAATTACATTTTGATACTTCTCTCAACACAGTGACAACAGAGGAAGCTTTTTTGAGATGAGAAAAAAAGTTGGTAGTAAACCACAAGCTGCATTATTAATGTGTTGAGTTATTTCAAGTTATAAAAGCCATGGTAAGTAATTAATTTGTTTCCAAAGCAGAGGATTATTTGAGACCCACTGGAAGCAGGCACAAGTATTTCTATCTGCTTGTTGTCACAGCAGGAAGGAGCAGCAGTCTGCAGCGGGTTGAGTCAGGGTGTGGATTTAATCCAACTCTTGCTCTCTGGCTAAATCCAAGATTCCTGGTGGGGACCCTGACTGTGAGTGGAGTCACAACAGAGCCCAGCAAGTCCTGCCACAAATCACTTGTCACAAGATCAACATCTCATGAATCCCACTGCAAACACTTCACTSCTGAGTGCAATGGGAATCCCTTGACCCAGGGGTACAGTCAACTACAAGTCAAGAAGGTAAAAGAGAGTGTGAGGGAAAAATAAAGCCAAACTATGATGGCATCTGCTTGTAGGAATTTCTTGAAGAACAGCAGTGGAATTAGTTGATCTGCGACATTTCTTCTCATTGCTGTAAGACTTCAGAAAGTGTATATGGTCAGGGTTGGGTGTTGCTACTCTGAGACGGAGCCTGGATGAGGGGACGCCTGTGTGCCAGGATCCTGGGTCCCTCACGCTGTGTCCCTCAGCCCGGGGCTGGCAGGCCCTCCGCTCCCGCTCKCAGTGCCACCTCCCCTGATTATACATATTAGGGAATATTTAGGGAKAATTTCTTYGCAGAAGGGGRGATTAGGCATTGGAACGMGCTGCTCAGGGAGGTGSGGGAATCACCGTCCCTGAACGTGGKGTTCTGTCACAGTGCTATTCTGTCACAGGCTGGACTCGATGAYCTCAGAGGTTTTTTTCCAACTTAACTGATTCTGTGATGAGCAAAAAGCCCCGTGTTTTCACTCAAGAGTCCGCACCCTAGACGCGCTTCTGGCTGGACATCACACGCCGCCTAA